TGCGGAAATTTACGCCGTCTGTAACTATCTCTACGGCAGCCGAGCTGCTTGAAGACATCGCAACTATAAACTACAGGTTGCAGTTGCCAACGTTTGTAGATAAACGTTGGTAGCGACTGCATTCTCGCATTCCCACGCATCACTCGGAACAGAAAGGCGCTAGTTTCGGTTTGAAGTCGGTACCTTTTCTACCACATAGATGGCGGCAGCATCAGTCTTCTGCACTCGGTGCATTTGGCGAGTTCGTTTGAGTCGAGTTTTCCGTGCAACACTCTGCGAGTGCGATGCATTCTGGGAGAGAACTCGAACGGTGCCAGTGCGTGTGAAACGAACTCGCTAATTAAACAACGTGCGCGATGTGCTCGAAAAACGAAACCGAAAGAAGATGGGTCGGGAGGGCGAAAGCTTTCTCCGGTCTGCCTGGAGGAGGAAAACGTCTCGGAGAATAATAAGGACTTTAATTTTCCTTTCTTCGGTCTGGGTTTGTTTATGTGTGTTTTGGTAAACAAAAAAAAAAAAAAAAAAAAAAAAAAAAACCACTTTCCTGGGGATCGAACCGTTGACCACTTGGTCAGTAGCGCGATGTTCTACCCCTGCGCCAACTGAACAAGGAGGAACTCGCCCTCCTCCTTTCATCTGAACTGCCGTTCCTCCCTTCTCTGGGCAACTTGTCCGCAACAAGGAGGAACAGTCGCTTTTGCTACCTTTCTCCTCCCTTTTTTCTTAGAGTGTGGTCAACAAAATGGGATTTGATGCCTCGTTTACATTTCATGTCTTGCATGTACGCGTGGTTTTGTGTGTGGAATGTGCGATGAGGCTGACGATACGGTTAAATTGTGGGAATGGTATTCTGTTAGAAAAGAGTTCCGATGGGTTCGTTGTGAAAGAAAAGATCTTCCGGAAAGCCAGCGATCTGTGGCGCGTTCTTGACACCGTCATTTGCTGTCCGCTGTTTGGCAACTCTGCTGACACATGTTCTCGCTCATTGAAGTACACTTTTGCTCCGTTTCACCTTCCGCCCGAGCGCAACGGATGCTACGAGCCGTCGGAGCCAATCCAAGGCCGTGGGAGTGCAACGCGACCTTGGAGAAAGGGCACGGATATCACGGGCCACGCCCACAGAGCGGGATTGGCTACAGTCCCGCTCGTAGCGTCCTCTGCGCTCAGACGCGTGAAACGGAGTGTTTATCAACCATTCTCGAGCATGCTTACAAATGAATGTCGGGCATGCCAAACTAACTATACTATGCCTCGTGGATAGGACAAAATAGAAGCAAACATTTCTTATGCGCGCATGTAAAACAATCGACGAAGTTTTTACTAATATACCGAAAACTATTTGCACTACACCAACGTTGGGTAACTTACGAAAATTGTGACAGTGTATTATAGAGTGGTCTGCTATTGTAAGACTAATTGCAGTTTTTGTTCGTGAGGAAGGGGAAAAATCACAATGAAAATAACACACACACAAAAAAAGATTCATAAGCGTACGTTATATTGACAGTTGTCATGTTTACGGCCGCTTTACGACTCTTAACTGTCGGTGACTTTATATGTGATAGACTCAAGGTTCCTCTCGCCCTTCCAGGCTGCGTGCGTGCTCTTTAGGGGTTCTGGGTTCGATCTCTGCCCCTGCCTGTTTCGATCATGCATAGGTCGGTGTTGTGGGCACACTAGTGCATGGGCGTCAGCCTTCCCCCAACAGCAGCACGCCTGTACATTTCTACCTGTCAATTGCAATAAATAATATCAATATCAATAATATCAATCCGGATGAGCGCGTGCATTGCACTGGCGTGCGGTCCCGTTTGACTATACTGCGTGATGCATTTTGAACACCCGAGGTATTGCGCTGACTGAATAGACCGATCTCACCAGCCAGTTTGACTACGCCACCGCTGGCGCAATGCATCGAGGGAACTTTAGTCTTCCTGCACGTGCCCCAACCTCGTTGGAGCTCTGCGCGTGTAGAGTACGAGACGGCACGAGGCGTCTCGAGTACTGCCTACTGCCTCTTGTGAACTAAAGTTATGGCGGCTTTACGCACGTGCCTAACACTTGTTCAGAGCCGGATATGTAGATAGTTTGGCCATTCGTTGGGAAGTATAGGAGACAAGTGAGGAAGCTCCATTAGCCGAAAGCGGGCTGGGCGTGTTCCAGGGCGTCTTCACAAATTCGAATGTGACCAACCAGAAGCCGGAAATAATACCCTGGCGATGGTCGCTAGAAACAAACCTGATAAGTGCATCGGAGTAACTCTCGGTGACTGAAAATATGGTACACGTGATGTTTCAATCACGCTCATCCAAAATGACGGTGGAAGAGTGCGACTAGCGGAAGGATCGACATCATCCTTACGCCAAGCGCCGAGGGCCGGGAATCTGCCGTCCGAGCGATCACACTCTGTCCAAGCAAAACAGAGTTGAGCGCCGCATTCGTTTCTTACATCTTTCTGCATGATCATGATCGAAACATCACGTGCACCCTATTTTGAACCATGAAGGGTTACCACATTCAACTCTTACGCGCTTATTAAAATCAGATACGAACATATACCTTTGATCAGAACTGTTTCTCGCTACCACCGCTGGGGGATTCTTTTCAGCTTCTGGTTGGTCAAGAGAGCATGCCAAGCCCCCTTTCCGAATCTGGTGCACGCCCTGGCTCTGCCCGCGCCTCCCATTGACCAAACTCTACATACACGGCTCTGCACTTGTTTAGATCGGTCTATTGCTCATACACAGCGTGGACCGGGCTCGTTGCGAAGGTCACTCGCCAGAGGGCGGTATTCTGATTCGCAATGCAGAGCCTCTATCTATAGGGAGTATTCACTGGCGGCCATATTTGTGTGCCTGGTTGCTGAGCGCGTGCTGACGGCGAGCTTCCACAGTTCTTTTGACACGTGCATTCCACACCATCAAGATTGCCGACCTTAGCAAGCTATTAATGTAAGCTCGTTCTGAGCATGCGCCCTAAACATCGCCCTCAAATGTGGCGTCCAGTGAATACCCCCTATAGCTCCGTCGCACCGGGCTCGGTGTCCATAAAGCGAGACGGCTGTTTCGTCGCCCGGCGACGAAGACGCACAAATGCCCGTTTGTAATGGCCACTTTGCGCGTGGCAAATGATAAGCGGCGCCCAAAGTAGCCGAGGCCTCCCATCGGAGCGCGTTATCTTGTCTTTGCGTCGCGGGGAAGGAGACGCGGACGTGACCTAACGTATATTTAAAGAGGTTGGAAAAGCCACTCTTCCGTCCGACGCTTACGGTGCATGCTCGGCCGCCAGTCTGCGCGGAACGCTCACGGGAGATGCTTTGTTCGATCAGAATAGTGTGCCACGCTGGAGCAGTAGAAAATGGCGATTTGATGAGTCGGAATGCCGTATTGAACCGGCGGACGTCTGCTGTACACTGACTCCGCTGACGTACGCTGCCTCAAACGCGATATGAGAACCGTTAAACTCTACTGGGGTCGAAGGGGACCTCCCGCTACTTTAGGCCGTTTAGGAATAATGCTACGTAAGGTACTGGATTGATTATAGTGCGTACACGATGGCGTGCGAGCTAGTCTAAGCAGACGGGTTACAAAGAAACCTTAAAATAAGTTTGTGGTTTCAGGAGCCAACATTTCGGTCGCAGTTCCCGCGCTAATGCTTGTAGAAGTTCAGCCCGAGCGCGGTGTACATCTTTCCAACGAGAGCGACTTGTGTGCGCGTCCAAAAAAGTGGTCCCTCGATTTCCCTCCGATGACGTCATAGAAGTGTCACGATGTCGCCGGCCGCGATCCTGGCGGTGTCCTAGCAGCGGTGGTGGATGTGGCAGACGTCTGTTCCGCAGCAGGTCCCACTCCAGCTCGACAGTCTAGTGAAGCTTCGGCAGCCAGGAGTCGGGACGACAGCGACACTCGCGTTCGCTCGTGCTTTTCGCTAGTATTTCTACGACCAACCGCCAGGATCGCGACATGCGACAGCATGACACCCCGGCTCTTGTGGCGTCATTTGTTACCACTTCGGAACCACTTCCGATGCATGGGATGCGGACAGCAAGTTCGTCTGCTTCTTGCACAGGGGTTGCGATGAAGTCAGAAGGCCAAACACTTATTGGCTGATTGAAAAAAAAAAAAAAATAGTGGGTGGATTTGAAGGCATTTAGCGTTCAGGTCTACCCACTTTCCTTTCAATCAAAGCGAATCGGAGCTCGGCGTCGTTATGACGTCACCGCAGCTCCTGCGCAAGAAGCGGGTAAACTTGCGGTTCGGATAGGACGCTAAACAACGACATTGGGCGGGAGAAAGGTGCTGCTCATGAACGGAACGGGATCCAGAACCCGGGAGACAGGAGATGACAGCACGAGGGAGGCGATTATTGGAATGATGGTCTATATAACGACCGAATGTGGAACGATGGAACTACAGACTTGAAATGGCGCCTTCTGGAAGCTTGACGGAATGACCGGCGACATTTCGCTGTGGGGCCTTTACCGAAACGCCGGCCTCAGAGGCTTTCAGATTTCTTTTCCAGCCGCTCTTACGTTGAGATCGACAATCTCAACGTCTTACGACGTTGAGATTGTCGACATTCAGGGTAGCTTCATTGTGCAAAGTCGGTTCGCAATGCCTCCAACTTGACATGGCGGCCTTTGTTTTTGTTTCTTTTCTTTTCGCTCTATTTTTGTCTGGGCACATGTTGCTTTTCTCTCTCAACGTGTATTGTCTGCTCCGTTTCACTTTACGACGGGTCGCGGGGGACGCTACGAGCCATTGAAGCCAATCCCGTGACGCGTGAATGTCTCGTGACCCTGTAGAGGGGCGCAGCGACGCGCCCCTCTAGAGGATCACGTGACAAGTCCACAGCACGGGATTGACTGGGATGGCTTGTACGGTCCGCTGCGGTCCATCGTAAGTTGAAACGTAGCACAGTTACGGACAACCGTTGCGTCATCGGCGCTTGTATAGTTACCTCTGCGTAACGTGGCGCTCTTGTTTGTGTCGTTTTTGCAGCCTTGGGGGACCTGACCCAGTTCAGCCTAGTGAAGGAGCACTACGCGACGCGGTACGAGCATGAGCGGGACCTGTTCACGCCGGGCACGAGGCCGGCACGAGTCCGAGAGCTGTACGAGTCTGCGGCGGCGACTCCCCCTCTGCACGTGATCCGCTGCCTGGGCCACGATGAGTCGAGCGAGCTGGACTCGCGGGGGCTCTTCCTCTGCATGCCCGTCTGGGGCGACGCCGCCAAGAGGAGGCTCGCCCTAGACCTCGACATCGAGACCAGAAGGGTACGTCGCAGACTTCTGCGTGCGCGATTTCCTCGTCGGTATTCTGTTAAAGCAGAGTTGGCGCAGGCGACTTGGCGTAGATTTACCACTTTCTTAAACCACCCGAGACCGGGTGGAGAACGAGAAGAATCCTAAGTGGAAGAGAAACGAACAGAATGACAGAAGCAGTGATGCGAAAACTGCGCCAATGGGCTCATCCTGCTACATGCTGCTACAATTCACCAAAATGTGACGAATTTGCGCCAACGCTGCACCAAAAGCTAATTTTGGTTCTCCAATGTCTTCTAATAATTCGGGTCTCGATACATAGACAGACTGTTGCAGTAGGATGATACCTATCTTAGACGATTTGTAATATCGGTTCAGATTACGTACTGTTGGATTCGACCTTCGCCGTATCATGTACGACAGTTGTCGGAAGTTCTCCAAAATGTGCAATTCTAAATGCTCAAAGTTTGTGCGGCCTTGCTAGCTTCGGCAAACACTGTAGAGAAGCAACCATATTGCACAGCGATGCAGCGCTCGTGTCTGTCTTGTCTTTCTTTTGTCCTCGTCTAAAAAGAGCTAACATGCCTTTGGCAACCCAAGACCAATACCAACTAGCCCAGCATTCAGCATTGACAGCGATTTAGCGTGCTGTAAACTTCACAGAAACCCAAATGCGTCCTAGAAAAAAAAAAAAAAAAAAAAAAAAAAAAAACCACCACCTAATTGTGGAATAAAAAAAATCTGGAATGTGGTACATGTTCATATAACGAGGCATAATCGCAGCAAAATTGTAAAAAAAATGAAATAAAATAATGGCTATTATGTACGATTGCAATCTTTTGGATAGCTGCGGACATAATGGGTTGGGTCGAGATCGTTTCTTTAGGTTGTAGGTTTAAGAAATAATATGTGAGTATCCGAGAGGGTTGACACTTATCTGAGTAGGTGTAAGGACGTATCATTTTAGGTTTATTTTCTATGTGTAATCCCTGGTTTTCTTTTCCTCCTCTCTATGGGACTGCGACTCTTTGAAGTCACGGTCAATCGATAAGTACAGTAGTTTAAATTCAAATTAGACTAGCCTTAGCTACGGACGAACGAAAGCTTGCCGATAGAGTGATCATGTTTATTGCTTTGCACACAGATTTTGCAGTCATAAAGCCGTCCACATGCAAAATGCCGTTCGTGTGCTAGAGCGATGAAAGCTTCGTTTCAAGTGAAATGCAAATCACATTATCATTGCACCTTTTGGAATAAAAAAAAAAAAAAAACAAAGAAAAAAAAACATGAAGCTGCTGCCAGAAAACAAAAAAAAACATGCATATGGTAATTATTATTATTATTATTCTTTTTTTGTTTTTTTTTTTGTTCCGTGTCTGGTGTTTTTAGCCAGTACTGAACAGCTAGCTCAATGTTCGGGAAAATTACATCGCAAAGAAGCTAGGAGTTGCACAGCGGTGTGGTAGCAAATAAGATATTTCTTTGACGGGCCAATACGTGACTTTTTTTTTTTCTTTTTTTTTTAACATGTTATTCACAGTAGATTGCATGCGAACGAAATTCACAGTTCTGCTCTGACGGCTCATTTTGCTGCTACAAGAATGACCTTTTGACTGGCTGTGAGGGGTCCCGTGCCGATAGTAGTGCGAATTGAGTGGTGTTTTGCGTCATGCATATAGCCTTCCCAGCGTTGGGGCTGACTACGACCGACTGCGTCACAACCGGTTTTTAAGCCTCTTCGGTCCCAAGCGGAGCATATACGGTTACGCTAGTGTAAACCAGCCTCTGGGGAGACCCACGGCATACCGGCTCTTTTTACAGTGTTCAAACTACTAGTCGTATTCCGAACGAAACCTATCGAGCCTTTTTGCCTGGCATGCGTTTGTCTCCTATCCTTTGACCGCGCTCTGACTGGTTCGCACACTTTCTACCGACTCCGACACAACCAGCTTGTAAGCCGCTTACGACCAGCCTTTGTGCTGAAGAGCTTTTAAGAGCCTTGCTGCTGAGATGCTCAAGGGACAAATCCAGTTTTTTTTTTTTTTTTTCTCCCTTACGGACATTTGGTGTTTTGTAATCTGATGTTTGTAAAACAGTAGTAATTAGAATGAGAAGGTTGCTGGGGATTGGATACCTCTGGCCAAGTTTGCCGAAGGAAAATTTCGATGAGGCAGCATCTGCTGCAGACGACCAACTCCTTCGTCAAAGATGGAGCACGGAGGGAGATTAGCGATCGATTCGCGCTGGTCACCTGTTCACGAGAATGGCGATTGCGCAGGGTTTTCGAGGAACCGAGCCCGTTTTTGCGTCGGTAGATACTAGATTAAAGGTTGGTTGCTCCCATAGCAGGACCGTTTATGATGCCGGGGTATGCGTTTCAGTTTGCGTTATTGGGCGAGATGGAATGGCGCCGCCGCGAGAGGTAGCATTAATCAGCAGAGTACTAATGACAAAGTACCACAGTGGAATGGTCTCTAATGCCTGGTTCAAGTATTGCGGGAAGCGATCGTCGCTCTTGTAGGGTACAGGGCGGCAAGCGACCTTGGTGCCTTGGTCAACGTTGCCACGGCGGTGCGCTCGGCAACGCGCGCACTCCGTCGTACTTGTCGACGGATGCACTCGCGTTATAAAAGAATGACGTTCGTAATATAACGTCCAAAAGTGCAAGGTGCTTCCCCTGACTTCAGTGTAAATTACGCTTTGCGAACGCAAAGCGAAAAATATGTTCCGCTCAAACTACGTGCTCTTCAAGGCCGCTTTTCCGCAGCGCTTTGGAGGATAGCGGTACTGTCGCTCTGCAATTTAGTTACCCTGCATACGAGTAAAGCGCTCGAAATATTTAGAATATTCCGGAAAAGGGGGGGGGGGGGGGGGGTAATTAGCTAAGTTTGGAGTTAAGATTTTTAAGCAAATTTCCAAAGCAACTAGTAAACCAAAACGTAATTTTTATTCTTTTAATTGTTTAGGGGCGGCCACAAATTGGCTGCCCCAAAATTTTGCCGCCCTAGGCCGCTGCCTATTCTGTCTATTGGCAAGTCCACCCCATACCACCCCCCCCCCCCCCCCCACACACACACACATACAAAACAAAATAAAAATAGAAAAAAAGAAGAGAAACCAACAACAAACAAACAAGAGCTACCTAAATGTATGAATGCAAAGCAACCACAACATATATTTGTATTCGTATTATGAATCCTCTGCTATTGCAACCATCACGAAGATTGAGGAGGTTAGTCAGGATAGCCATAGTGGTTTAGTGATTGGTTACATTGTGGGCTAGCATAGGCTGCTTCAGATGGCATAGGGTGGTTGCAGAGCAACCAGTGGCGATTAATTTCTACAGTTTTAGGTGTGAAAACTTCCTATTTGCAGGCTTTTCTTAAAACTAAAAATGTTGCTCATGACACAGTGTCTGGCTGCCGCAGAAATAACGAAGCTCATAAGTATGCCCCTGTATGTGGAACATGTGCATGCAATGGTTTCTGCAAATAAATATTAAAGACACTCTGACAGCCATGCCAGACACTACCGTAAAATCCCGTAAGGACGCCCACCCAAAATGAAGAGATGAATGGTGAAAAACATGGGGTGGGCTATCTTTGCGGATGCCGGAGCAAGACTTTATCAAAAATTAATGATAAGCGCCGGGGCACCCGCTACAAACCAAGTGACGCGGGGACTGATACCGCAGATCGCGGACACGGCAAATTCGCGTTTCACGATGCGATAAACACGCGGGAATTCGCTACAAACTCCTGTGTCACGGGAAAGGATACCGCAAGTGGCCGACGCAGCAGATTCGCGTTTCACGGTGCGGAGGAATCGCGGAGAGTCGGAGACCCGCCAAGAACTCTCATCTTACGGGAAGGGATACCGCAGATCGCGTACGCAACAGATTCAAGTTTCATGGTGCAATAAAGACGCGGGAACCCGCTACAATCTTGCCTGTCACGGAAACCGATATCGCGCGCGCAGATCGCAGAGAAAAGCACGGGAATACGCTACGAACTCGCATGTCACTGAAACAAATACTAGCGCAGATCGTGGACGCAACAGAATCGCATTTCACGATGCAATATACCCGCAGGAACAACTCGCGCGTGTTACAGCTTAGAATCGATATCGCGCACGCAGATCGCGGACGAAAACACGGGAATCCGCTACGAACTCGGGAACGGATACCGCAAATCGCGAGCGCAGCAGATTCGCATTTCACGATGCAATATACACGCGGCAACAACTAGCGTGTTACGCGAGCCGATATCGCGCGCAGATCGCAGACAAAAACGCGGGAACCCGCTATGAACTCGCTTGTCGACACACCGGTACCGCCGATCGCGCCTTTGATGCGCGATTCCCGTCGGACATCGCTTGACGTCCACCGGGAATCGGAAGGTCGGCGATGTTTCGGAATTTTTATGTTACAGATATTTAGCCAGATAAACGGGATGGGCGATCTCTCGGGGGAGGGCGCCCTTACGGGATTTTACGGTATGTGTAACAGTTTTATTAAGAGCTGATATTCTTCTAGTGTAGGGGCAACAGGCAGTTCTATGAGCAACTTCTAAGCATTAGTAACTCCATAGACATTTTACCTTAATTCTATGGACTTGTTAATATCGTTATGAAGACTGCCATCTAGAGGCTTTTGAAATGTCACACAGTCTGTGCCTTAATTATAGGAACACTTACACAGTATTTTAGAGCATCTAGCCCCTCTAAGATTGCATTGTAAGTGGGCTTCATTACTTGAAAACCAGATCTGCCTCCAAAAAACGCTAACATCACTTGCATATGTTTTTTTTTTTAATATCAGTTTGGATGGTTTATTTCTTCTTTTATTTTTTTTCTGCCATATCTGGTGATGTAACAAATGAACACAATTTCAAGTTCTGCAAGTTCTGAAGGATACTATATCACTATTTCAAATATATTAGGATCTCGACAACATGACCGGAATACAGGCGCGCATAAACAGCGCTGTCTAAATTGACTCCTTTCAGCTGTGAACCAAGCCTCAAGCCTAAAGGAGAAACATACCGTGTTATTGCAACAACAAACTTGCTATAATTAAAAAAAAACTTCGAAAAAAAAATGTTGCAAAGTATTTGAATATGAATAAGCGTGTTGGCTTGGCTTGCTTTTTTTTTTTCCAATAAGCTTTGTGGTTTTGGCTCAGCTGGGGGAGAGAAAAATAACTCTCTTTTCGGTAACAAGGCTGTCCTTTATCGGTGTTCGGCACAGCAATGTTGACTAGAATAGTGATAAGAGGACTCCAAGCTCTCTGAGCAAACTCTAAGAGCGATAGGCATCAGGCAGCCCTCAGTTCCTTGTCGGAAGAGCCAGGTTGTTTTCCCACCAGTACGAGGCATATCGTTAGGCGCACAAAATATTTCTCCAAAGAGCGACATCCCTCTGTGAGTATACTTTAGGCTTAAGCTAGATTATATCAAATAGTCTTGCTTCAAGCAAAAAGCGACACAAATTACAAGGAGTCTCACATTTTATAATTGACTCTGATTGGCTTAAAAAAAAGTGTAGTGTTTAGGTCGTGCAAGCCCTAAACACCTACACACGGTTGACGGTGACATTGGATTGGGTCTGCGCCTATTTGGTGATTGGTCTAGTACCAGGCACAGGGGCACTTAGGTAGTTCGAAATTATCAAACGGATCATCTTTTCAGCTATAATATGGCTCTCACGAGTCATAGTGCCTGCACTCGTGCTGGCTTCTAGTTGTGAGTGAATTTTAGTGCAGGCTTTTTTTGGTGAAAGTGATTAGATATCCTTTACCAGTTTTACTTTCCTCTGTGAGACCACTTTGTCTGTGCTGATCCGTGTGATTTATATTCAGTTGAATGGACGACTTCAGCTTCCTCTGACTTACGGTGGCGAAAGTTTCTCGATGTGTGCAACATGTGTGAATAGTGAATTCTGAGTTCAAAGCGAATTACGGTTTTGGCCGAATATTTTTGAATTGGATATCAGATAGTTTTTCCAAGCCTTTCATTACTGTAGCACCATGCTTAAACGAAAACCCAGCTGAACTCGTGAAGGTTGTTCCTAAGCTTCCACTTGTCCATTTATGAGATAATTTTAATCTGTGACCTCAGAAATTCCGATGCCTTGCTTTGGAATGTCAAGTAAATGATGCATTTTACATTTTATTTATATATATATATAACCAAAAATATGATGATGATTGAATGTACTTGATAGAATGAATCAACATCTTACGAAACACCAAAGGCCAAAATATATGGCGGAGCCAGAATATGAACTCTGGGCTTCCCAGTGTCCAGTTGGGTGTGCTAACCACTCCGCTACTCCACCTTGGCTTTCTGGCATTTCCTATCTGTCTTATTAATGCACGATAACCAAAATGTATCCAATCGGAGGTGTTTTGGAAGCTCACGCCGCCGCGTGGAACGTGTTACGACGCCTTCTGGCATGTGGTACATGCTCGTTCTGCTCCATAAATACTTACACTGTTTGTCTCGTCATGTGTACATGTAGTATTCTTGTTTGTAAGCTTTAGAAACACAATATCATCATCATCATCATTTGCGAGAATCGAGAACCATGGTTTTTGAATATATCACACGCATTTTTCATCATCTTACGGCGATCTCTGAAGAGGAAATAATTGAAAAAATGATGATGATGGAACCGTTCTTGATCCAAGAAATCAATGTCTTACGAGACCCCCGATAGCCAAAATATACGGCAGAGCCAGGATTTCGTAAAACATCAATTCATTCAATCAAGTATGGTTCAATCATCATCATATTTTTGATTATTTCCTCTTCAGAGACCGCTGTAAGATGACAAAAAATGCCTGTGATATATATATATATATATATATATATATATATATATATATATATATATATATATATATATATATATATATATATAGAAAGATAGAGAGAGAGAGGGAGAGAGAAAGAGACCCAGCTATACCTAATTGAGTGGAGTTACTAATCTTTCTACATGCAAATAACTTTTCGTCAATCTCAAATATTAAAAAAAAAAAAAAAACATCCTTAATGATAATTGTAGGTTGTCAGGGCATCGCTGCATAGCAGACACAGTTTAATTTTGAAAATTCTATTGCAATGTAGATATCAACATTCGCAAGGTTTCAGTTTCTTTTTAAATACACCAAGCGCACAAGTGCACCAGCCTGCTTTAAAAGCCTACCTTTGTCCCAAGTGCGCAGTTGCAATATTGTGTTGATCTCGATGTTTACTCCGTTGAGCACACTTAATTACCAAGCACCGGTGTGCTGTGGAGAAGCAACACCTGCTGAAGGAAGCTCTGCGGGTGCTGCTTCTCTGCAGTGCACTGGTGCTCCATAAAAAGTATGTTCAACAGGACTAGCCCGCCGCGATCAAGACACCGAGGTATACAAATATCGTAGTTCTTCGCGAAGCAAATATCACTGTATTATTCAGAACTGCTATTTGAAACTTTCAGCATTCACGCAACACTACATATAAACATATTCAATGCGGGTTCACAAATTACCCGTAGTTGGCGGTCTGCAGCCATGCAGAGTTTGAGAAGCATTGCCCTAGTGGATGCTGATGGTGCCTGTTCTTCTTGTGTGCAGCCTGCAAGCTTGCTGGTGGGAAAGGAGGCCCAGGATGGGACAAGTGATGGGGAGGAGCCACTGCTGAGGCTTCCTTCCCCGGAGGAGAAGATGCATGCTTTGTCCTTGGAGTACCCCCCAGTCGTGGTTCCCATCGATACCTCCGAGAGCAACTTCAACCGTTTGTCGTCTGTTCGGAGGTCTTTGATCCATGTGAGTGTTTGCAGCTTTTGTTTTGAGTCAGCGCAGGCACTTTACAAGATTGCCAAGTGAACCGAGCCTTTTCAATTTACAGGGTTACTTAATTGAAAGTACATATGCCTTCTAAAAGATCAATATGAACATGCTAAGGTTCTACTGGGTCCAGCGTTAATATTGCTGTGCAGTATATCTCAAATAATAGAGCAAATTTATAGACGGTGGCATTATTTAACGGTTAATTAACCAGAAGCCCCTGTGAAACAAAGCTCAGAATTTCAACCATTCTTTATTTAAGGAACAGCTTCCTTAGAACTTTAGCATCGCTGCTAATCTTTTTATAAGAAACTGAGCATTTTTAGGAAATTGGAAGTGAAGTGTTAATTTTTTTAGGAGATTCTCAGCTGCTGTCTTACCAAGGATTTCCCCTGGTAGCTTTCTTGTGATATCCGCAAAGATTCATAACCTGGTTTAAACAGTGTATTGCATACAAAATGTATTGCATATGTCTCTTCCCTCATCGTCATTATAGACTTATTCTTGAGTTTGTAAAGTCAGTTGGCATATAAACATTACACACAATTGTGACAGACATAGAAATCTCCATACTGTTGAGACATTGGTGCAGTTGGAACTGACTGTCTCATTGAGCAGTTAGTTGCAACTGTTTTGTCAATTCTTACTCTTATTCCTTAGGTTTTTCACTGGGTTATAATTCTTTGAAAGAACATTAGAGTTTCTAATGCTGTCACCATACAGAAAAGAAGTTGGAGGCTCTCTAGGCAATTGCAAAGTGCATTGGAGGCAATACATAAAATAAGAGTACAAATTGAAATGGTTACCTGAAGACAGGAAAGGAAAATATAATTCTTTATTAGTTACCTGCTTATTAAGTGAAGACTTTTCCTGTGAGACACCAAAATGCCCCAAGTCAAATAGCAGGCTGAGCAGCAACACTAAACTAGTAAACACTCGACCCGTGCAGGTTGACTTCCTGATCAAACGAAAGAAGCACCACAAAAGGCGCAACACCATCTCGGATGGGAACTCCAAGGAGATAGAAGAGGCCCTGGCCAGTCGGAAGAAGTCTGGGACCATAGTCAAGACGGAGGCCCTGATCCACACCTCCTGCCAGACGGACGACGACCTGCTGACTGCCACAACGAGCAGCGCCGGCAAGTCCAGTCGCAGCAAGCGCCGCTCCGAGGGGAGTCCGTCTTCCGGAGACCTCTCCTCCTCATCCGCAGAGAACAACGCCGCCGCCAAAACGGAGAAGCGGTCCTCGTTCTACGAGGCAATGAACTTTAAACTGGGCAGAGACTGGAAGTTTCTCAAGAAGTCAAGCAAGAAGGAGGAAGGCTCGTCAAAAAACGAGAGCGCGAGGGCGGGGGACGGCAAGGCGGAGGGCGGCACGTCCACTGGAGGGACTGACAAGAAGCGCAGGTCCTTCCTTCCAATTTCCACCAACTCGGCGGCCATGACGGTGGCAGTGAAGCTCCGCGAGACCTCAGCGCGTACGGGCTCCAAGGGGATGGAGGATGGGCAGTCCTCAAGCGGCAATTGGAGTGCCAGCAGCAGCACGCGGGCGTCGGTGGATTCGGACCAACAGACGTCCATGGCCTCCCCGGACACCATGCCGCACAGCCACTCGGAGAGCTCCCTTGGCAAGGACTCCCTCTTCTCTGACAACACCCACCACAGCACTGATGGGAGGTTCGTTGCACTCTAGCACTTCTCAATTAAGGATGACTGGCACCTCTTGTGCTAGCTCACTTAGGTGAAAGGTAGGTTTGCAGTGTGCCATGGTTTTGGGCTGCATAATGAGCCCATGATCCAAGGGTTCTAACAGTAAGAAAACAGAATGTAGCCCACATTAAAGTGTATCTATAGTTGAAGTGTTCATAGTATGTTTAAACCATGAGTGGATCCTTTGAATTTCAACTTACCTAGGCACGCAAAAACATAATGCTACACTAATAAAAGATTGAATTGCTGTACGTGTACGGTGTTGTTTATTCTTCTTCATTGCAGTGCAGTAACCTCGGCAAATTATATTACCATAAATAACAAGGTGACCGAATAAAATACTGAAGCGAATACACATTTATGAGGAGGGCTTATACCTGGAGGGCTTATGGAGGAGGGCTTATGCCTCCGTCAATGTGCAGACTGACTCCTTCCTCGAGTCGCTTTGGATTTTCGTAGCTTACCTTTCGAGAATCAAAATGTGAAAGTGGCTCGCAGCCAAGTGGGCTTTGTGAATCAAAGTTGCTCGGCGTTAATATTTAGAAATATTGAACCTTTTACCAGCATCCATTGCTTGCTTTCCAGGTCGCACGACGAGACGGTAGCGGGCTACAGCTCAGACGCGTCCGTCGCCCTCACCGGCACCACCGCGGCGTCGTCTTGGAAGCCCGGCCCCCCGGGTGCTACAGCCTGCCGCTCCAACATCAACTCCAGCTCGACGGACCCCGAGAGCCAGTCTGGGACAATCACGCCGGAGACCTGCCAGTCGGACTCCAAGTCCTCTTCCTCTCCCCGGCGTAAAATCAGCGTCGGCTCCGATCCCTTCACCAGCCACATAGACGACGGAGACTCTTCGGTGTACTCTGTGGACACGGACGGTTACTACACCTCAATGCACACCGACAGCGGTCTGATCAAGCACACCCCCGGTAAATTCGGAGAGGAGGCAGAGGAGGGCAACTTTGCCGCAGCCGGGGACAGGGGTTCGCAGACGTCCATCGACACTATCGGGAACTTGAGCTTGAACAGCTTCCTGTCACAGAATGCCAACGACACCGGCAACGATACTTGCTCCATAGCCAGCACGCTTACGCAGAGGTCGAGGGTGCCTCCCGCTCCCCCGCCGAGGCTCTGTAGCGTCAGGACGCTGTCGCCAATCCCTTCGCAGAAAGAAAACTCTCCGCCTCTGTCTGCGGGGGACGTCTCGGAATCTGACTGCGAGGTCGGCGAGAGGCTAAGGCGGAAGACGTCCATCGGTTCCTTCCGGTACCCGTCTATCTGCGCAGTCTCCCCGGAACCCAGCGACGAGGAAAACTGCCGGCTGGACCTTGAGAAGAGGGCGCCCAAGAAGAACCCTTCGGCTTCCGGTTCAAATGGCGCAGTGCAACCTAGCACGTGTAAGGGTAGTGGCCAGGAGGCCCCTCGGCAGAAGAGACCAGAGACAGAAATCATGGAAGAAAATGAAGATTCTTCCGAAGCTGACCGGTGCAACATGTATGGTGTGCAGTCTCCCCGCAAGGTGCCCTTTCTAAATGCAATTGTGTCTCAGACAGATGTGTCACCAAACGCTGGAAAGCAGCCAACCCTGGGGTCGTTCTCCTCCGCTGAATGCGAGCTGACATTTGATACTGCCCCCGACTCGAGCAGGGGCGGTGGTACAAAGAGGGTCACCATCTGCGAGAAGCCGTCGAAAAACCCGGCGGCGGTGGCTACCGCGACGTCTGATGCCATTAGTCAAAAACCAGGCGTGCAAACAACTCCCAGTGCATCTACTAGCCCCGTGTCAGACGTGCAGCCCAGAAATTCTCCAGGCGATGTCTCTCGTGTTTTCGTAGGAACCACGGCAAGTCCTACAAAGGGTTCTGAACAGACAGAGGGGATACGCCAGACACCGAGCCCTCCAAAATCAGGGGGATCTGCTACTGCGTCTAGCCCTTCGTACACCCCTTTCTATTTGAACAGGCCGTCCTCATTAATGAGCAGGACGAGGTCACCTTTCCTATCTTACCTTTCACGAAACGCGTCGCCCACAAAGACATCGTCGACGCCGAGTCCCCCTTCCCCGGCACGCTCGCCTGGCCTCATGGGCTCCTGCCGGGAAGCCACGCAATTGACCCCGAGAACCACCGACGTGCGAGAATGCCCTGAGCAGTCTTCGCCTACTGCGACCACTCCCCACACGAGTCCACGGGGCAGCCCTCAGACGAGCCCGCAGACCACGCCTCCGGCCGTGCCCCCGCCACCTCCTCCGCTCACCTACAGCAGCAAGGTGTTGGAACGGGGGTCGGCGAGACTGCCCAGCGTCACGAACGAACCCAACAGCGTATTTACGCAGTCGTCCACCTCGAGCAGGGTCGGTGCTAGGGTGACCCTCGATCCCGAGGGCAAGGTCATCTACAGCTCAAACTCTCTGGGAAGGCGACGCGACGGCCAGCCCGTAAACTTTGGCTCGCGGAAGATCCCTTGTCCTAGTGCCCCGTCGGCAAACAAGTATGCGACTCTACCTCCGATGGTTTCTCCGGTGTCAAATGCCGACCCACGTGCCTACGTCAAGCTGGATCCGGGCGGTGCGGCAGAAACATACTCCAGCAGCACCGTTCCGCGGACCAGGCACTCCGTCTCTGCAGTCGGAGTGCCGCCGTCAAGGGGTGAGGCAACCTCCCCTACCGGCCCGCCGAGAGCCACGACCCCGAGCTCGCCTTCCGGCATAGTTAAGGCTCATGTCCCCGCGGCAGGGTTGAGGACACCGCAACTTCGGCAAGAGCCCTCCAGAAGGAGTACTCCCCAGCCGACCTCCACATTCTCGCATGTCGGCGGGTCGTTGGGGAGGGTTCCGCCCGTCCAACGTCCGGCCTCCATTTCCACGCCCTACGAGAGCAGGCCGGCAGGAACCAGCACCCCGGTGTCTCGGCATTCCCAAGCCTCGTCGGGACGCGTGACGCCCGTGCACCACTTTTCTCCCATCAGCCTGCCCGCCTCCACGGCACCGGGACGAAGAACGCCGCTGCAGCCTTCGCCGAGAGAGCCGATCGGCTCGACCTGGGTCTCCGGCCTGCCACCGCCTCCTTTCGGGTATCCCGTCACCAGCTCACCGCAGCACGCGTCGCCGCCAAACTTCGTTCAGCATCCAGCGCAGACGAGAGTACCGCAACAGTTCAACGGCAGGACCACACCGGTGCAGCGTTACACTCCGCCGTCCGATCCCTGCATTCCCTGTCCGGGCTCTCCTGCAAGAGGCTACCCGTCGATGCCTCCATACTTTGCTCCTCCCGTAGCTTCTTGGGATTCGGGACGGACGACTCCCACGCAGAAAAACCCGGCTCCGAATGGCCCGTGTGACACTGGAGCACCTTACGGGACTCCGGACGAACGGAGGCCCGTGCAAGCGTATGGGCAGGAGGGCCCGAGAGCTGTGCCAGTTAATAGCCAGGGCTACGGAGGAAGACAACCGCTCGAGCTTCTCAATGGAAGGACAACTCCCGCGGAGTACTCTTACCAGACTTCTGTTCCCCAGCAGCGTGGGCAATCTTCAAATCCAACTTATTCCGGTAGGACCACTCCAGACACGAGGGAAGGGGCTCGCGTATCGATGCTTCGGCATCAGAATTACGGTAGTCCGAACCACGCTAACGAGACATCGCCAGTGCACGACGGCATTCGAGATAACAGAATGAGAGTCGCCCAACCAATGACCAATGGACCGAAACAATTCATTCCAGAGCAGCACAGGGTCTACTACGGGGTGCACGGCCAAAATGACAGGCAGAACCCACCGCAGCCCCAGAGACATGCCTTGAGCCCCATGAGGCAAGCTCTTCCGGCAACTAGTACCGATACGTCCCGCTTAGTCGGACCCCCTCACATTGGCGGGCAGAATGTGTGGCCCGTGAGAGCAAGTGCCCCGACACCCGCGTACGGTTCGAACCAACGGAGCTTGGATCGGAGTTACGGGAGCCCCGAGCAGCGTGCCTTCGTCCTCTCGGGGTCTAAAACCTTGACAGCCAACGATTCATCGGCGTACGCGGACAGCCTTCGAAATGCGTACAACAGCCAAAACACCTACCTGTCCCCACCTTCGGCTCAATGCACGAACGAGCAGAGTTACGCCGCGTTCCGTGGGTTGCCGAAGCGAGGCTCTCCTACCGGACTCTCTTCCACCAGCTTGTCCAGCTCTGGCTCTGAAAGATCTCCGGACAACAGCAGCAGCAGCACGTCCATCACTCGAGAGCTCCGGAGGAAGCCGATGTCCGCGGAGGACCTGTTTGCCGTCATCCACTCGTCGAAGAAGAAGCACGGAATCAAAACCGAGGCCGACCTGGCGCAGTCGCCACTGTCTTCGAGGTCCAGTTCGCCCATGGTCAGCAGCAGGCCCAGCACACCGAGCAGGGGCGGACTCGCCGAAACTGGCTTCCTGAGTCCACGAAGTTCCCGCGACCGCCGCAGCTGGTCCGGAGACGTCTCGCTGGTCCGCACGCCGGGCTCGATGGAGCGACGGTCTCTTGCCAATGACCGACTCGGACCGGTCAAGCCAACCAGTCTGCTGGACTTCAAGAAGCTGCTGCTGCAGACCAAGACCACCGGTCAGAACGGACGGGCCAAAAAGTCCGCCGTCGAGCTCCTCAAGGCCGGCCCCGCGAGCAAGGGCTCTGAAGAGGCAGCCCACTCTCTTCCGACATCTCCCGTCAACGTGCCGAGTCCGGCTGAGAGTCCGACGGGTGCGTCATGGACCTCGACGGTGCCCCTCAAGCGAGGGGGACGGGTCCGTTCGTCGCTGCAGCACCGCTACGACCACATGTACCCACCCATCCTGGAGGACTGTTCGGAAGACGACGGCAGGGCAGCGAGCGCCAAGCAGAAGACGGGCGAACTGCGCGAGGTAGTCGGTGGCGTCCCACATTCCCCGCCTTCGAGCACTTGGGTGTGACTTCGCGGTGCGGTACACTGCCGTTCTCCCCGTGTGCATTGAGCCTTTCAATGGAGTTTTCATTTCGGCTATTTTTTGTTTGTTTTTATTGTGGTTGTGACTAGGGAGCTCGATGTGCATCGCGGCCCATTCTCTAGACTATGACTGCGGTCCCCGCGTTCTTGTATTGGAGAGGGTAGTCTGTAATGACTCCCGAACGATCCTTTTCTGGTGAAAATTCAAATGCTGCATTGGTCTCTCGTAAGTGTGCCACGATGGGAATGCTTTTGCATCAATATACGTACCCTCTTGTTTTTAGTGTCCGCTCTAACTGGGCACGTAAGCCGTGTGCACGCAAAGCTTGCCGAGCATTGTGAGAAGAATCGACATTCATTAATGACTTACATTAATTTTTCAAGTAGGTACAAGCACTTGCCTAATGCTGCAGTCAAGAAAATTTGTCTTCTTTTATTATCTGAGTCATATTTTATCTGGCAAACTTTTCATGTATGCTGTCTCTCATACAAGGTGTTTCTGCTATACATGTTCAACAAGGGGACCTATATTTTATCGCTTTTCTAAAAGCTTGCATGCATTTTCATTGAAAAGAGGACACAATTTATTGACTTGAATTTTTTAAAATCGAAGTAACCAATTTTCCAAGGGGAACAAAGAATGTAGTCATTTTTCTGATTGGTATGGATCTGCATTACATGTACAGCTATTGAAAATCTCTTAAAATCAAATAGTAATCGTAAGAAACATTATAAGGAAATCAATACCTCCAAACTGTTGTATTAATTTATCCTTGCTTACCTGCCAGTAGAAGGGCCAGATGTACATGATAAAATCTTACTGGCCTCTCGTTTCCCTTTTTTTTTGCTGCAGTGAGTTGTACATATGATTTTGATGCCCTTATTTATGCCATACTTTATAATGTATTTGGTGCCTGGTGATGTAGCTAACTCTTTTTTACACGCTTGTGGTAGGGGTTGCTTTGGCATGCATTTAATCCTCGCCACGGACCAAATCTTAGATTTGGCCATGCTTCGTCGTTCTAACGGCTTCTTTTTATCTTCAGCATTATTACATGTAACCCAGTTCTCTTACTCGTTCGGTATTATGTACACCTACAGAATCAAATCTTCTATGCCGGGATAAGTGAGGATGTATCAATGGTTTCATGAGCATTTACGATGCAGCCGCCTGTTCTCATCTCTTCCGATCGTTCCTTCATGACGTGCCATAGGAAGCATTCTTTTTTCCACAGATTTCCGCAAGAAGGGGCTCCTGCACTTCGACATGCACCTCAGTGTTACGCTGAACCTAGCTTGGTAATCTAGGTGTGACAGCGTGACTTCATTGTCCTCATGCATGCTTGCAGCCGTACGAATGACCAGCACATTTTTAGTGTCGAAATATACACTTCGCCGTGTCAGTGTGTGAGAGCTGTCTGATAGCGTCATTGCTTAAAGCTCCATAACCACTGTGTTTAATGTCATGTTTGGTTTCATGAAAAAAAAGCTATCTGGGTACGAAAATTCCAACAGATGTTTTGGACAAAAAAATGTCTGAATGGAAGCCGTTGCATAGCTTTTGCTTTCACCCTCACGCACTTAGCAACATTTTGTGAGCGAGTCTATATGTGTTCTAACAGCGAATTAGCTTACAGGATCATGGCACTAATTGTTGAGATGTAGGACGCCTGTGCATTTTCTAGTCTTAGCCCTTTCCCATGTCTTCACCTCACTCCTGCGTCTCGAGACATTCTCTAAATTCTGCCCGTGGCGGCAGCGTGCCTTAGAACCATCTTTGCTTCGGGGAGCAGTGTTGAGCGGGGAAACTGAATGTTGGAGTTGGAACAGCCCTCTATCTTTGTTACGACATGTTTACCGGTAACGCATTCTTTGCAAAGATATGCTCATTGAGCGTAAAGTGACCAGTGTTTACAGAGGCAGGCATTCAGCCTGGAGAAGCAGTATAAGCCCGGGATGGAAAACAGAAACCAGTGCGAGTTTCACGAATTATGACTTCAGGCCTCTGTATGTTTGTGAGCACAAGCATAGTGCCATTCCAGATCATCTGTTGTGTATTAAGAGGCTGGTGCTCTGAGCTGTATGTGAGCATTTTTGTATAGACACTGAGCAGAACAAGGTCTTAAAAAAAAAACTTGTCCCTTCTTTTATCATGGCTCTTCTTGTAGGATGTATTAAAAGGTATTTCACTCAAATAATCTTTTTCCAGTGTCTTATTTTCGATTTCTGCTTTATTACACTGCATCAGTCAAAGTTTGAAGGGACCATTGGCCAAGTTATCTCGTGTTTTACTTTTCGTGTGTCCTAGCCCCTTTAATGCATTGAGCCAGAATTCCCCAAAGAGGTGCCTGAAGGTGGTGAACCTTGTGTATAAAAATTCTCCTGAACAAACATGCTCCACTAAAAAGTTAATCAAGAACTGGAAATCACAATCTACGGTGTCTGTCTGCTAACGAAAGGTGTCTGATTGGTGCAACAGCAGGCCAACATTATAGGTAGACATTTCAAGTTCCCGATTTCTAACTTTTTGCTCACGTAAGTTAGTACCTTCAGGCAGCTCTGTAATAAATCCTAGCACAATATGTTAAGAAATTGATTTATGTCGTCCCTTCAAACTGCCAAGGATCCCTTTGAATCCCGCAGTGTATTCATTATTGTTACTGCACTGTACAATAAACTTGTACAATATGCTTCAACAATTTTCGGCACCTGTAAAACCCACAAGAAAGTTAGGGCTGGACCTCGATTACAAATATGAATGCTGTTGTCACCCTTTAATTAGGTAATTATATTGCTCAGTAATCAATGACATTAGTCTCCAGGCATAAGTAAAATTTTTGTTGGATGATATGTGAATGGTCACCTCCTCTGAATTCAATGGTAATGCCTGTTTTATAGCACATACCAAGAAATTTCATTACTCACATTTATTATAAACAAATAATCAGTGTACAACCATTCACACTTAGCAAGCAGTTATCCTTCATTACAATCTGTAATGACCTATGCAAAGGTACAATGATATGGAACAAGAGCAATCTTTAGGAACAACAGGAAAGGATGCTACTTTTAATGGAAACCCAGGCTCATAGGAGTTTTACTACGTGACTCATGAATGTATATACACAGGTGAATGTTGGCTGCAAAAAAACCCTGTTGCCTAGGGAATCCCTTTGCGCCTGCTACCTTCGCCCCAAGAGTTTCCAAAACCCTAGTACGACATTGATAGCAAGGAGAAAAGTTCCGCTCAAGACGAGGAACAGGTACAACCACTTCCTCGAGGGCCGAAGGCATGGAAAGGCCTGCGTCAAAAGTTTGATCAAGCCCTGGAGGATCCATTGTCCATCGAGGGCAATGCATGGGATGGCATTTAGTAGAGCAAGTGCACCAGAAAAAGACATGATATAGCTGAGCAACACGTTAAGGAAATTAACGTAATACATGCACAGCTCTACACTGAGCGTCGACTATTTTGTGCTACACTGTCGAGGCCAGCGTTGTTCCCACAATACTGCATCCCCGCACTGCTGCAAGAGCATGTGGCTTCATGTTGTGTCTCACTGGCACACGTGCTCGTGCAAAGGAGACGCCAAGGGAATTCACACGCGTAAGTAACTTTGGCAGCACTGGAGCACCAGTGAACCTCGATACCGAGTATGACCCTAGATGGAATCTAACCTGAGTCGCTAATCCCTGCTCCACACTGTCGGGCTTTAGAACATTTTCTGAAACTGGCGGTTCTGGTAACAATGACAAGAGCAGCCCTATCATTTAGATGCCCCACTCTAAGAGGATGACCCACCTCTATTTTTGGCCCGATTTGCTATTTTGCCAAAAATACCGAATGATAGCCCAAGCTCACTTTTAGTAATTCCAGGGCCCTGGCCAATGGCAACCTTGGCAGAAATGGTGTCACTTAGTCATGGCGGGAGATAAGCTGACATTGCCGACTGGGAAAGACAGTCGTCTTTGGTTCATCGGCCTTCCCTGCGATTGCAAGTTTCGCAGGTCGCTAAATCTAAAACTGGCATTTTTTTCTTCAATTTTTTTTTTATCGCACATCGAAAGTTGGTCTACTCTTTATTTTCATCTGAGTTGCTTTCGATTTTAGATGGGTTATCTCTCGAGATATTACGGGTAAGTGCATTGCCATTCCTTTCAAGCAGTGACACAAGGCCTCACTTTTAGCCCATGCAACTGCATGTTGGACAGTTAAATGACGAAATATGAAATTGCCTTTAACATATTGAAAGTCCCTTCCTGCGCTTTTCCTTTCTCTAGGTTTTTTCCTTCAGGCAGCCAGAACAAAGACGTCCTTGACATAGTTACAGTTGCGCACAAAAGGACAGGGACAGAGAAGAGGAACACATAGATGGCAGACAATTGCACACTCACAACTCGTGTATTGATGAAACAGGGAAAGGAAGATGTACAGAATGCGGAATCAGCTCGAGCGTTGGCCACAGAGGCACGAGGGACCACAGGCTCGAGGGACCGCAAGCTCGAGGGGGACACGTAAAGTTTCCCACACAAAAAAGATTTTAAGAAGGCCATTTCCTCCAGAGATTTAAAAAGGCCAGACGGAAAGCTGACACATTGCTCGCCCATGCTTAGGATGATGAAAGCTTCGCAAATCTTTCTTGTGTGTTTTTTCCCAGTATACTTGCCTGTTATCTTGGTTCTTGCTAAGGATGGCATATAAATACAGGAAATACAGGATTTACAGTGCTGAGATAGGTGCCTCCCCCCCCCCCCCCCACCCCACCATAGTATTTAGAGAGAGATTGTGTTCTCGTAGCCGGTCATTCACAGATTGTCCGGTCTGTCCAACATGGCTTCTACCACAAGAAAGGGGATATACCAGGCACGTAGCCAAAGGGAAGGCCCCCCCCCCCCCCCCCCCCCCCCAAAATCTTCCATTTTGCATGGGTCCTCCTCTCCCCCGTCCCCCTCATACAGCATTTTGTCATGGGTGGGCCCCCACGAAACAAACTCCTGGCTACGTGCCTGGAATATACTATATGCTACACTCGGGGAGCAGGGCACATAAGGGTGGAAGCGGTTCCTGCAGCACACATATTTTTTTTTGTTTTTTTTTTAGTTCTTCATCTTAGCATGAACCTTTTGACAAATTTCAGTTAACACCTGCATTGGAAAACCCGAGGATGTCAGCCTCTCAATTTGAGCTTCAAAGGTAGTGGGAACATTGGTCAAGAGAGTGAAAGGAGCTCAAAAACCTCAGCCCACTTTTGACAAAAAAAGAATTGTAGTGGTCCCTTAGATGCACAAAAGTTTTCACAATCTTAAAATGGTGGCTAGCTGGTACAGGGTTCCTTTAGCAATGTCAGTCAAAAAATGGCTGACATCACTAAAATTTGAGCCAAAAAATGGCTCAAATTTGTCAAAAGTCCATACTAAGGCAAACATTTAAAAAAAAAAAGTGTGCTACAAGAACCACTCCCACCCTTATGTGCCCTCCTCACCGAGTGTAGTATATAGTATCCCCCGTCCTTGTGGTAGAAGCTACCGTAGAATACCGTGCATCCGCCCATACCACATTAAGCGCCCATTCCCAAATTTGTAAAATCTGAGAAAATATGCAGAGTACATTGATATGTAGAATTGATGACCGGACAAGCGCCCATCCCCCATTTTTTCATAATTATCTCAAAATTTTGAGTGGGCGCTTGCCCGGTATTTTACGGTATGTTGGACAGACCAGACAGTGTATTATGTAAATGAATGGCTACAAGAACACAATCTATCTCTAAATTCTACAGTGGGGGGCCATCTACCTCGACACTGTAAATCCTGTATTTGTATGCCATCCTTAGCATAAACCAAGATAATAAGTGGGTACCGGGAAAACACACCAGAGAGATTTTTGAAGCTTTCATGATCCTAAGCATGGGCGAGCAATGTGTCAGCTTTCCGTCTGTTTCATTAACAAAGAAGGAAATGGCCTTTTTAAAATCTATTTCGTGTGATTAACTTTATGTGTCCCCCTCGAGCTTGAGGGTCCTTGAGCCTGTGGTCCCTCGTACCTGTGTAGCCAACGGTCGAGCTGATTCCGCATTCTGTAAATCTTTCTTTCTCTCTTTTGTCAATACATGAGTTGTGAGTGTGCACTTGTCTGTCATTTACATGTTCCTCTTCTCTGTCCCTGTCCTTTTGTGTGCAACTGCAACTATGTTTAATCTCTACCAACTTGCCCAACTGTCTACATTACTATGTCCTTGACAACCTAGTCAGTACTTTTGATTCTGTTTGAATATAGATCTCGCTGCAAGAGCCCATATTCTGTTCTGACCTAATGTTTTGTACACCAGGACTTGAATTTAGTATTATATTTAGATTGTAAAACTGCTTCCTCCAGTTTTCTTCCTCTCGCTCATTTGTTTGTGAATACTCTCCTCTGTACAGTGCCTGCTAAAGGCTCCCCAGGTATGGCAAGTGAAACGACACTTCCAGAGCCACGTAGCTCACAAAAAGGATACTGCAGGAAGACTTCATACACGTGGACTGGTAAAACTGACAGATATTTCTGCCGAGGAACCCACTTGATCAGGGAAACTGTAACAGCGTCAAAACGGCCGTCACATGTTGGGATGCTGGTGCAGCCGAAACATACCGTAGTTGATATTATCTTGGGAGAAGAGATGAGCACCACAGACAAGTGGTAATACATAGCTGGAAAGTCAAACCATTTTGCTCCTGCCAGTTTTGATGTATACGAAGCTTATAATACTACTGGCTTGCACTTGCATAACAGCTACTGTGTAACTCAACATCTCAGGTTCCGAGTGAGCAGTTGCATACAGCAATGACTAAATTGCACCTCTACAGTGGTGGATCATAACATACTTTAGGCAGACTTGGCTTGCATTGTAATACCAGAGTGTCTAATTTTAATTAGAACACTCTTAAAGAAAAAAAAAAAAAGCCGTGAAACACACACTAATGTGGTTAGTAGAAGTGAGTTATATGGCCAGAAGGACATGGTACACGGGGTTAATTGTCACGATAAACCATAACTAACTAAAAAATGTTGATGAACTTTTTATTTAGTATAAATATAGTTTCAATTAGAAACTTCAAAAGCATCCTCGAAAATCACTAAATCGGCCGATTTCAGAAAGATTTTGTGTGCATGCTTCGTTCTTCTGATCTAAATTCAATGCGCTAGCACTGTTTTACAGTTTCTTATTATGCATGGGTACACACCGCCAGCCTTGTGCCCGCCAGCCTTGTGCCCACCAGCCTTGTGCACTTTAAATTTTTGTAGAATACCGATTTAGTAGCTTTCGACGACTCTCGGCAAGTTTCTAATTAGACCCATATGTTTATTTTTACTAAGTAAGAAGTGAATGAACAAATATTTGTTATTTATCTGACTTATTGCCACAGTTAGCCCTCTTACATAATGTCGCCTCGCTGTATAACTTACATACACAGACTGCATTATGATACCTTTCCAAGTTTTTCTTTAATAAATCTGTTTGAATCAAAATTGTACACCTTACGTAAACATTGCATAACCAATTAATTTTCTCCAGTTTCCACCTAAAAGTAAGTGAAAATACAATGCATGTGCGGAAGGCATATAAATGCCGAAACTTCTAAAGCTATGTCAAATTAAACGACAAATAAAAGAAAAATTCAGAATATACAAAATGTATCGGACACCTACGGTTATTACTTCTGAAAGTTGGTGTACTCTAACTGATGTTATGCATTTTCGGTTCGTCGGAGAGTTAGCCTCCGTAACGCGTGTGTGTTTCAACGAAGGAATGCTTATATTGGTGAAACACAGATAGTACACCACACATCTCCAGCAAAATGCTTTCTTTGTGTTCTACCTTGGTTTTGTCATAGCCTTGATTGCAGTTCCTTCATATTTAGCATTTTTGTCCGCCTTGTTGGGAACATAAAACGTGAACACCGGCTCAGGACAGCATTGGAAATTATAGTGATGCTTACCGACAACCATCTGTTAAGCAACGTGTATAACATTGTTTAAAGTGTCCCCAGAGCTCTTGAGGGCTAAACAATATGCCACAATACAGTTGAATAATGTAAATAATGCCATCTTTGTTACGAAGACTGATGCAAGCAGTTAGCCATGCTAGACAAATGCAACCACACTCCCCAGAACTATTTTTGAAAGCCCACCAGCTTGTGATAAAGCTCAAACTTACATTGAAACCGGAACTACAGTTATCTGGCTATCCACAAGATTGTGGAACATAATTCTCCACACTAAACTTAATTTCGTGATGGCGCTTGAAAACCATCGATCACCGATGGCCTATGGGCACGGTCAGGAAAGAGTTAAACATGTAAATGGATAAATGTTGTATGTTAACACACGTAGTCCCACCCCCATGATACACCGTCGCCTCAGTCCGTCCATTCTTCGTGCCATCGCGACAGAAGTGGTAGGACAGGGTGACGGAGGCGACGCTTTGAGAAGACTCGGCGCTGTGTGCCTTGAAGGTGGACACTGAACATGAACGTTGGCTGCGTTTATCGTCAAATGCAATCCAGCATATGACGGTTTGATCAACAAATTAAAATACAGTTGCAAATTTTTTTTAATGAGTGCAATGGTTTACCTGTGTGCCAGAGCTCTGCCGGTGGTCCCAAAAAGAGCATTGCTGGCCAGTTCTCCCTCTTTACTTGTACCAGCTTGGTGGTGTTGTCCAGCACTGGCTTTAGACAATAGTAATCATCTGTTTGGCAGCTGGAGTTGCAATACCCATGAGACGTTTCAAGCGTGTGTCTTGCCGGCAGACAGACCTCCCTCTGAAGTTCCAAAACAAAAACATAATGGAACTCACAAATCAATGGACGAAGAGCGTGTTGGTGCGGGTGAAGATTAAAGAAAGAATAAACATAACAGCAGATATGGCCGGGAGATTATAAAGTCGTTTGCCATGAACAGCGCAAACAATGTTTCTAATGCCTCCTCGTTTCTGACGAAAACTGAAGTTATATTTCTCAAATCAGAGATCGCTGTGTCGACCTGCTTCTGCATTTTATTTTATTGCCTCTTCCCTCTTTTCTTTCTTCTTAGTTCCTTTCCCTTTTCTCAATTTTCTCGTCTTTAATCGGTTGCTTGCTTTTGGAATTCTTATGTGTCTGTTGCTAGTTGAAAGATATGGTTGTGTTGTCTTTGTCCCACATGTTTACTCTTTCTTTGATCTTGATCACACAAAGAATTGTACTGAAAGAACCGATTCAGGCATCAGGATTTATTGAATGTAGCCGACTGACAGTAAAAGAAATGCAGAGGCCTTTTTCATTTGGCTTCCTCCAGTGCGGCTCTTGACAATGCATGAAACTGATGTAACCACTCGTCATGTGCATGCAACTAATATGGCATAGAGATCAGTAGACTTGGACACTGGGCTCGCTAATTGAGATGTGACATGCTCGGTGACTATGGTGTTCTAGAACTATAATTTTCATCAAAGACATTGCTGACCGTAAAAGTCGGTGACATAATGTGAACAAAATCATACCTTTTCATCATGGTCCAGGTAACTAAAACACAGGCTGTTATTAGACTGGCCATGGCAGCACTCTGAGGAAAAATAAAATAAAGGATGCAGCTCCAGACTGGCTGCATGCTTATCAACACTTCACAGGATTTTGTTCCACCATCGAGGCTTACCATTGCTGGACCAAGTGCCTTCGGATTGCACAAGCACCTTCCTTTGACAGTACCCTGGTTGTGGAATGAGCACAGCTTGAACCAGACAAGACTTCCAGGTGGCAGGATCCCTCACCACGCAAGCATCCACAGCGATTATGTGGTCCCCAGGCAGCAATCCATTTGGACCATATGCTCCTGATTCCTGTAAGGCACAAACTGTGTTGGCACAACCTGACAACTTGAAAACACTTTTCACTGGTGCAGGCACTTTAAAGACTGAGCTATCCAGCTTTTTATGGAAAATTTTACTTCATCATGATTTTTCTCCAGTGATACATCTCCTGGTGCGTGCTACAAGCAGGGCAAAGTCCAAATTAAGCAACATGGGTATAATTTAAGTACAGATTTTTTTTCTTTCGATGAGCAGCAACGAGCACCTGGTGTGCCTAGATTTCAGAGTTTTTAACTGCTGAATCGGTGTCAGAATACGAGTTGCGAGGAGGTGACAAAAGCGTCGATTGTTTGCAAGCATCTCCGCCTCTCCGCCCGCTTTCCTTCTTGCCACGAGACGAAGCAACACTAGCACACTTGCGACCAAAGTGTCCAGAAGGCGTCTACCATTAAATTGCAAATGCCCTCCATGGTCTCAGTTGCTCCCTCTCCTAAATCTAGGCTCTGTATGAGCACCATCATACTAGGGTGTCGCATGGTAGCAGGAACATGCAACAGGTGAAGTTGCCGCTTCCCACGCACAAGTAATACAAACAGATGAAGAAAATTATACAAATATATTGTCTGGGTTTTTGCATAAACCATTGTGTGCTCCCGTTTCAGTTTATGGTGGGCCGAAAGACATATGCCACAGGGGGAGGGGCAGGGGTTTCGTGGACACCTTGCATCATGGAAACCTGCGCAAACATATTCTTAATTATGAGCTCTCTCCCAATCAACCAAAAGCTAGCTAACACTTGCAATAATAACTACAACTTCAAAAGCACTGCCAGTGAGACATTCTGTGACGAGCAGTCCATGAAACAAGCCCATGATGCTCAAATGCAGTAATAATAATGATGATAGTTTTTTTATTTTATTTTATTTAGACATACTGCAGGCCTTGAACAGGCCCCTGCAGGTGTGGGATACATACAAACAACAAAACCATACATATGAGTAACAAGAAACACATGGCAACCATATATATTGCTTAAACAATGACATATATACATATAAACGCCATCAGCATAATAAACTTTCCATAATCAATGCCTAACATACAATAAAATAAAGCATGTACAAACACCAGGAAAAGAGAAAAATCAAAAGGTGTGACTCTCAAGAGCACCATTGAAGTCGGGGGCAAAAAAAAATGTCACGAGGGAGGGCGTTCCAATCCGTAATAGTGCATGGGTAAAAGAAATACTTAAAAATGTTAGTTTGAGCGAATATTGGTACCGGGGAATACTGATGATGGTGCCTAGTTTTCCTAGATGATGATGGGGATAAATATAGACTTGATTCAATGCGGAGTGTGTTATGATAAAGCAAAGACAAAAATTTTAGTCTCACAATTTTTTGACGATGCTGGAGTGATGATATATTGTTTGCTATCACCAATGAAGATGGGGAATCTAGTCGATTATATTTTCCAGAGATGAAGCGAATAACTCTCCTCTGAACCATCCCTAGCTGTGACGCATCCTTTTTGGTATTCGGGTCCCATAATATGCCAGCATATTCTAACTTCGGTCGGACCAAGGAGTTATATTGTCACGAATGACAATTGATGAGGCGATAAAGACTAAAGAAACTAAACGTTTAATGGGACAAACTTGTGCCGAAAAATAAAAAGGGAACAGATGAAAGCAGAGCGTCGCAGGCGTCGAAGTCGGCGTGACAGCAGAGTCGAACGCTGGGGCGAAACTGACTCCGGCTTGCTACGCGGAGCCGCTTTTGTACACGCGTGGGCTTCTGGAGCATTCGGCGTAGAAGGTTCGACGCATAGAACATTCTAACCTCAAATCAGGTAGTCGGTTCTCGAATTCACGAGAACATCACATTACAGTGTCAACAAAAATGTGTTGCCGCGGCCAGGAATCGAACCCTGGCCCTTCGCGTGGGAGGCAAGTGCGATAACCGTTAGGCCACGGCCGCCCTGCCTACTTGGTGCGCGGCATTACTCCCCCCTTAAAAAGTGCATCGCAACACAAAACAAAACAAAGCACATAAAAAGAACGGCAAACTAAAGAGTCATTTCAAACACATAAGGTCCACAGTCCTATTGAGTGTAGTACGGCTTCAGGCGTACGACGTGGACGACTTCAGGTCGTGGTGGGCGGCGTGATGATGTTTTCGTTCCATCGGGCATCACCTCGTAGTTCAGCTCCCTGAGGCGACGAAGTACCTTGTATGGCTTAAAGTTCCGTTTAAAGGGGCACTGACACATCAAAATCATGCTTTTTTTTATTATCCGAAACGATTGAAAACGATGCCGGGACATTGCCCTCAAATTTCGAAACTTGGGAATTCAGTATTTCTTAATTAAAAAAACATTTCCAAATGCCAAATTTGAAGTTCCCGCGTGATCTGCGCCAGTGCAGCGAGTCAAATTTTGCGGTCTCCTGAGACTCGACTTTCTTTGGGACCTCCGCCGTTGCCACAGCAACCCGAGGCGAGGAGGAGGTGAGCAGGCGGGATAGAAGCCGGCGCGGGAAAAAACCGGTTTCTTCCCCGTCCAGAGCCGTACTGTCCCCGTCTGGCCGTTAGCGCCGCCAAGTTTTACGAGGGCGGATACAAATCCAGGAAGCGACATCACACCGAAATCTGATTTTTGGTATTTCAAAAAGAGGGGCCGTAGTGCGTTCGCAATTGCGTTAAAAAACATGTTTTACGATTGCTGTTATTAAATGTTATAGAAATGTCGCCTACAAAGCTTCTAAATTTCCTGATTTTTGACGTCACCGATCAAAAGAAGCAAGGAGGTTAGCGCGGGAAATATAAACAGCAAAAATAAAAAGGCGCGCGCGCGCTCGGGAAAATTTTTTTTCGCGATGCGGTTTTTTTTGCGTGTATATGACTACAACTTGCATCGTTTTAGACAATACAAAATAATACAACCTTTGGGGTGTCAGTGCCCCTTTAAGAAGTTTCTCACTGAGGCCGCGGCGACGGATGGGCGTCCACAGCCACACCCTGTCTCCGGGCTGGAAGTGGACATCCCTGCAACGGAGGTTGTAGCGGCCCGCATCGATGCGTTGCTGGTCTTGAATCAGAAGTCGGGCGAGCTGGCGGACTTCTTCGGCTTGTTGAGCAACCACCTGGGCGTCGTCGCTCTCAATGTCAGCTGGCTCATGGGGCAGCATTGCGTCCAGCATGGTCGTTCGTTACCTTCCGACCGTGTACCAGCTGGAAAGGGGTGAGCCCAGTGGTTTCTTGAACCGCCGTATTGTAGGCGCACGTGACGTAGGGCAACACCTCGTCCCACGTCTTGTGCTCTACGTCGACATACATAGAGGTCATGTCGGCGATTGTCTTGTTGAGTCGCTCCGTCAGCCCGTTGGTCTGCGGGTGGTATGCAGTGGTACGACGATGGCTGGTGTGACTGAGACGGAGGATTTCTTGGGTCAGCTGTGCCATGAGCGATGATCTGCGATCTGTAATCAGAACTTCGGGAGCGCCGTGCCGGGGTACGATGGACTCGATGGAAAACTTGGCGATTTCAACAGCTGTCCCCGAAGGGGCTTTCGTTTCTGCGTACCGCGTGAGATAATTGGTGGCAACGATTATCCAACGATTCCCCAGGGTCGACGGTGGAAAAGGACCAAGTAGATCCATTCCGATCCGCTGGAATGGTGCAGTTGGCGGGGCGATTGGCTACAGGAGACCTGCCGGCTTTGTCGGCGGTTTCTTGCGTCGCTGGCACTCGTTGCACGATCGGGTGTAGAAGTGGACAGTTTTGGGGAGCTTGGGCCAGTAATACTTTTCACGAATACGGGCCAGCGTTCAGCTGTAACCAAGCTGTCCGGACGTCGGGTCGTCGTGACATGCTTGAAAGATCTCCTCCCGAAGGTCGGTCGGGATTACCAGCAGCCACGGCGAGTTGTTGTCCCCGAAGTTCTCTTTGTAGAGTACTCCTCGTCGAATGGCAAAGTTCGGCAGGGCTCATGAGAAAATGCGTGGTACGGTACCCCGCACCTCCACCAAAATGTCACAAAGGACAATTGATGAGGCGATAAAGACTAAAGAAACTAAACGTTCAATGGGGCGAACTTGTGCCCAAAAATAAAAAAAGGGAACAGATGAAAGCAGAGCGTCGCAGGCGTCGAAGTCGGCGTGACAGCAGAGTCGAACGCTGGGGCGAAACTGACTCCGGCTTGCTACGCGGAGCCGCTTTTGTACACACGTGGGCTTCTGGAGCATTCGGCGTAGAAGGTTCGACGCATAGAACATTCTAACCTCGAATCAGCTAGTCGGTTCTCGAATTCACGAGAACATCACATTACAGTGTCAACAAAAATGCGTAGCCGCGGCCAGGGATCGAACCCTGGCTCTTCGCGTGGGAGGCAAGCGCGCTAACCGTTAGGCCACGGCCGCGCTGCCTACTTGGCGCGCGGCAATATGCTTGTAATTTAATGGAAGGGGCAGCGCTTCTAAGTTTCCGACGTAACAATTGCCCAATTTACGAAAAGCGGAGGAACAGAAATTTTGAATGTGTTGTGACCAACAGAGATCGTGGGATATGGTTACACCGAGATATTTGTATTCAGTCACATCAGATATTACATCATTGTTTAATTGATAAGTGAACTTGAGTGGCTTCACTTTTCTTGTTATACGTAAATGAACTGTTTTCGTAAAATTTAGCTGCATTTACCATGCGCGGCGCCAATAGCAGATACAGTAAAACCTCGTTATAGCAAAATGGGATATAACAAACTAATAGATATAACAAAATAATCATAATTCCCCTTGCTTGCTAATAGTGGGAAGAAATGGACAGTGGCTATAACAAACTAATGGTTATAATGGAATAATTATGACCGCTCGTTCCACTTTTTTATAACGAGGTTTTACTGTAGAGGCGAGGAAAGAATTCAGTAATATTTGGTCGGCAACTGTGGATATCCTTTTGAACAAAATGCAATCGTCGGCGAATAAACGAATATTTACATCTGGGCTAGCAACTGAGACGATATCATTTATATACGTTAAAAACAACAACGGGCCAAGCACACTGTCCTGAAGAACACCCGAGGAAACACCCAGAATACCGGAAGCATGACCACCAATGTCGACAAACTGGCTGCGATCAGACAAGTACGAACCTATCCAATTGACAATCTCAGACGATATTAAAAGGTACTCTACTTTATAAGAAGTTTGCCGTGTGGAACTTTATCAAAGGCCTTGCTAAAGTCCAAAAAAATAACATCGACCTGACCAGATTTGTCTAAAGTAGCAGCAAAACATGAACTGTGGTGACAAGTTGCGTAATGGTAGATAAACCCCTTCGGAACCCGTGCTGAAAAAGCAAGTTTCTTTCTTCTAAGAAATCTCGAACATAATTACTCACAATATGCTCCATAAGTTTGCACGAAGTACTTGTAATAGAAATAGGACGATAATTACTGACTTCTGAACGATCACCCTTTTTATGAATGGGAACGACACGTGCGGTTCGCCAGTCACTAGGCAGCACACAAGAACTAAAAGAAGCGCGAAAAATGACAGTAAGAAAACATGCAAGCGATTCTGCATATCTACGCAGGAAGGCGTTTGGGACTTTATCAGGCCCACAACTAGACTTAGTTTTCAATTTTAGTAACATAACAAACACACCGCGAAACGAGATAAAATCGGGGTTCAGTGGGGTATTAGTAGCGACAGGGGTGTACGTATCTAAATCAGAAAACACAGATTGGAAATATAAATTGAACTCTTCAGCAATTTGTTTTTTATCAGTGATGGCCACGTCGCTAACCATTATCTGGTCGACAGGCTTTATACTTTCTGAAAGATAATTCCAAAATTTTGCAGGATCATGTTTCAAGAAGGTAAGAAGAGTGCACGAAAAATATTTATTTCTAGCTTCCTTGACCTGCCTTGTCATTTCATCCTGTAAACCTTGTACGTTTCCAGTTTTGCGAGCTCTTTTAAACTTTTTGATCTGACGGGAAAGGTGAATTATTTCGCGGTTTATCCAAGGCTTCTTACGTCCCGTGCATTTACGCCGATCCGGTATGAAGCTTTCTAAACAATAGTTACACATATAAACAAACTTCTCCCACAGCAAAGTCACACTGTCTTCAATAAAGTCGCTGAAACAAAAATCAAGATAATCCAATACACTTTCATCATTGGACCTTGAAAAATCCTTCACAGTTAAAGTAACCCTCTTCCTTTGTGAGCGGCAGTTCAGACGACAGTAAGAAAGCACTAATTTGTGATCCGACTCACTCTCCTCGAGATTTACGGTATAATCAACAAAAGCGTGACTGACAGCAATAACAATAATAATTTCATTTCACAAAAAAAAAAAAAAAAAAAAATACAAATTCACACACAGGCCCGCAAAATCATGGAGATGCTCATGCGTGGGGCCTGACAGCTGGTGGCAAACAAAATACACACACAAAAAAAATATGCACTGGGGAAAAAAACAACAAAATACAACAGACACAAGAAATGAGCACGCACTTGCATGCAAGGGCAAGATAAAACTGGCCGAGTTTTAGATTGCAAAACGTCACGCATACTGATGTGAAGAAATGTAGTAATGTAGTACTGGCATTTCCCAGAGGTCGCTTTCCTTGCACGTCAGGCTTAACGTCAGGCTTACCTCTGCCACAGAGATGACCGTGACACCGGCATGCTCCTTGTAGAATGGCGTCATGAGAAACCGGTTCCCCGTCAGGAGCAGCAGTGCCACCGCCACCGCGACAAGATTGTGCCAGATGCCGGCGCAGTAGATTTTCAACTGCTTCCAGGGAGCCAGCACTGTCACCTGGTCCTTCGGCAGGTCCACGAACGCCCCGGGGAAGATGCCGAGCACAAAGAGGCCACAACCCTGGATCCTCACGTTTTCCCTGGCAAAGGGAACGAGTGGTGTACACTGTGGGACACTGTTGTCACGAATGCAACAGCGGCACATTTTTACATTTTACTCTGAAAGAGGATTTCACTGGTGGGCATCAAATCTGCCTGCTTAGGTCAGTGCCCCAAATGAATGCTTTGAACCCAGCTATGAATAATTTTCATAACAACTCTTCCAAAAAAATAAAAAAGAAAGAAGGCGATTGATTTAATAAAATTCCCTAATAAGTGGGTTTTTTGTGGCAAATGACTTAAAGGCCGACCAAAAGAATCATCCTCTTGCCACGCAGAAAAGCCTTTCCCAGAGTCCTTTCCTCATGAAAGGACCGGGTCTCCGAGCTCGGCCAACACCTCCTATATAGGAAGGCCATTGTGCCGATGTTCCTGTGTCTCCTACTGCGGGCCAATGTGAGGCACGGACTTGACGCAAGTGCTGCATCAGCGTTTGGGTGCGACTCATGTTCAATCCAGGGGAACATCAGCCAAATGCTCACACAGTATACACACCATACCTAGGGTTGTTCGTTTTCGGGTTTTATATTTTTCGAAATTTGGGGGGTAAAAATCGGGTGCTATTTTTCAGGCTGATAATCGGGGAGAAATCGGGTTTTTCGAGGAAACATTTGGAAATTCGGGTTTTTTCGGGTTAAATACACGAATGTACTCAATAATACATTAGTTTTTTTTTTGTTATTAGAGGGTATTACGAGCTGTTTATGGCTAACGCGTGAAAATTAGGGATGTGTTTCAAGCTGGTAACTGGGGGGGGGGGGGAGGGGGGGGGGGCATCAGGGTTTTTCAGCTTCGACTGCCGTCGGTCGCTTCAAGGGAAGTACCGCCCAAGGAATCCTCCTCTCTCTCAGGTTCCAACAAAAATCCCGACCGTTCGAGGGACGGTCGTCTTCGATCAGATATTTTGCTATGAAATAAACTTGTTAAGTTTTCCCGATCTGTTTACGCGACTGAATGGCTCGAACGTTGTTTGTGAGAAAGGTTGGACGATAGCGCGATGGCCATGCTACCCGAGAGACCCTGTTGAATGTCAACACCTCAGCGATCGAAGGGGGACTGATAGTGCATTTCACAAGCTGCGTGCAGCAGGGCCGAAGCTATGTGGCGTGCCGAGGCGGTTCCACCTGCACAGCGGGGGGACAGAAATGTCCCTCCGAGGCCCCCAATGCCTATTGTCGCTTTTCCTCAGCCGGCCTCCGTAGAATGCTACGGTGAGTTAGGCGCGCTTGTTGGGCAGTTGGCTGAGAGCCATGTAGCGTCCACAATGCTGCACGCAGCTTGCGAAATGAACTACAGGTCACTGTTGTCCTGAAGTAGGGTAGATAGCGTGTGTGTACGGCAAACTCCGTGCGGCGTAAAAATAAAGAGGTTGGTTATGTGGTTTTGGAATTCGGGGAGAAATCGGGTTTAACTCATTTTTCCTGAAACATGTTCGGGGTGTAAAAATCGGGTAAAATCGGGTTTTACCCGAAAACGAACAACCCTAACCATACCCTGGCCTCCAGTAAGTCACGGAGAAAATCTAGCACTACAGCCTTGCAGGAGGTGTTGTTAAGCCACTCCCCGCAGAAAAGAGAAGGGTTTTTTCTTCATTGGAAAAGAGGAATCCAAGGGCAGTTTTCTCATTCCTTGCTGCTCGGCTGGCCCTTGCTGGAAAATGACGACAACACAATTTGGCATCTTCTCAGGCTGCTGACCATGCTGCATGCATTTTGAACTGACCAAACACTTCATTTATGTGCGGGGAAACACAATTAATCCAAGTTGTCACCCACTTTCTGGATGATGCCGCAGTTTTGTTGTTCTCACCATTGTACTATACATACTTACTGTGCTTTCGGAAGTTCACCACTGAAAGGGAGGTACACTCACCTCACAGCAGCTAGGGCATGACCAAACTCGTGAAAGATGCTGCAAACCACCAGAGTCGAAATGTAGTAGAAAATGTCAGAGATGGGAAGGTTGATTCCTGGCATCTGTATTGGAGACAAAAAAGGTATTACTACAATAACTACAGATGCACTAGTATAGCTATGAACATGTTAGGGAAGAGTCCTTTTGATAGTGCACATTGGGCGAGTTGGTAAGGCATAATTAAGAACCAGCGCACAGGCAGAGTTACTAAAAAATCCAAATACACAAAAGATACACTCAATCAGCGCTGTGTGAGTGTATTTTTTGTGCATTTAAATTTCTTGAAGAAGAGTCTTTCCTTCATTCACAGAAGGCTTTACGGCATTTCAGCTACTAAGCATGAGCCTCCAATCATGCAACTTAAAATCACTTAAACATAGAGCAAATTTATATTTTATATTTTTTATAGAGTCTTCAGCACAAACCTTCTCTTTCTTGAAAGGTTTTTTGAACGTTACTGATGGAAAGGGCAGACTATTAAGGAGATACTGAGTTGTAACTTAAAATATCTCTCTCACGTTCAGAAATAAGTTAAACATGATCAACACTAACTGCTAATGAAAATCGAACGCTTGTATTTTCAATGGATGGCTATATTTTTCGTTCCAAAGGACCAATTCCAGCGAGCGCTCGACAATCGGCCGTCGGAGAGCTCGATGCATTATGAGAGACGTGACGTAAATCGGGCCAACATGGGCAAAGCCGCTTGGAAGCTGGTGTGGTTATGAGCCCTGCCACTTGGTGTCATCAACATGTTACAACCTGGCTATTTTAGTTGCTCCTCCCTGCTCCCCGCAGGAGTTGACTAGGCCGGGACAGAAGGGAAATACGGTTCGACGGGGCTCGCGCGCATGCAGCTTGCCTCCATACTGTTGCGGAGCGGCGCTGCTTTTAAGGTTGGAGTGATGCAACGACCAACAGTTTATTTTTGTTAAATAATATTTTGGTGTCTTTTTGAGCAAAACATTGGTGTCTCCATGATGTGTCCAGAACGTGGTTGACATTTAAACAATAAAATAGACGCTAAAACTTTGTTGCAATATTAAAAAAAAATTTTTTTTTTTAACATTGTGAAGGGAATTTTAGCCATCCTACACCCATGTTTGTGTTCACTTGGTTTCCTTCATTTGCATTTTTGTTTCCTCTGGTGCCCAATTTCCCCACACCCGGGCACAACTTTTTGATGCAATGCGGCGAAAGATACATGAGCACATTCTTTCCTTTCTCCAAATTGACACAGAAAGATGTTTTTTCAGCATGTTCGATCTGAATCGTGTCGCTCATGCTCATATCATAAGTTGCGGGATAACAAGCTGTCACATCTACGCCGCTGCATCCGGGCCACGGTGCATGGAATGCGTTTCCGACTAATGTTTTTGCCGTCCTATCATCATCGTCACCAGCGTCGAAAGTTATCCCAAAGTGAAAACAAATTACAACGCAGGAGCCGGTGCATCATGCTGTCAGCTGCCGTAATTCTGCCGGTTGGTCATACAAATTCAGGCAAAAAAGACAAGTGAAAGTGACTGTGTGGGTATATATAGGGTGCTTGAGAAATAAACCAGCCAGCTGAGTTTGAGATGTTCTGTTCCATTGACTAAAAGGCTTTCATTTTCTGCACCACAGCCTTGGGTGGTAAACGACATGGTTAGCTACCACCAGCTCGTCTGCATACTCGCTTTCTCTTCAATGAACGCAACTGTCGCTGCCGTTGCAGCATCCCAGCTCCTGTCTACTGCTCTACGTGGACTGTGAAAAGCGACCTAGACCAGAACGGGCGTCCGACGCATTCACCTTCGCTCCTGTGTCACCAGGATCACCAAAGGCAACAGCATGGTACAATTACGGTACAAGCGTGACGTGACCGGATGGAAATCGAGGGACCACAAATGAGATTGAAATAAGTGCGCGGGTCGGAGATGCATTCCGGGCACTGTAACCCTGGGCTAAGTGTTGTTAGCACAATCTGGAAGCCTCACCGCGGGCTCGAGGATCTGCACTTCTGGCTTCCCGGTCGCTGCACTTCGAGACATGCTCATGGCGCTGGTGGCCAGGACCCAGACGGCTGGTGCGATGGACAGGATGCTGACGACAGCCCCCAGCGTGAACCACCAGTACAGGAAGCGGGGCTTTTTGCGGGCCAACTGGTGGACGACACGGTTGAAACGGGTGAAGTAGAACTGGACGCGGAAGAGCCTCAGGCTGAGTCCGTTGCGCTCCAGCATAGAGATGTACGGGTAGAGCATACACGACTGCAAGAAAGATCGAGGGAAAAGAGGTGAGGGGAAGAGGAAGAGAGGACAAATCTCCAAACACAGCTAGGTGACTGGTGCGCGACCGCACCAGCCACCTAGCTGTGTTTAGAGATTTCTGTTTGTCCTTTGTCCAGGGTATATTTTTGTCATTCTTGTCCAGCTCGCTTGCACCTTTGCATTTAATTGCAATGCAATTGTAGCACAGTGGTGAGTTCGGCTAGTTGGTTTTGCATTTTAAAAGGGTAAAACAGCGCAAAAAGACACGGACAGGGAAGATCTCCCCTGTCAGTGTCTTTTTGCGCTGTTTTACCCTTTTAAAATTAAAATGCAAGTGTTTCCCCCTTGTTCGTGTTAGACTGGTGGCAGCTGATAATACCTGCTTGCTCTACTGTCGTCTAACCCCTGGTTAGCTCAGTTGGTAGAGCGCTCCACTGGAAAGGGAGAGGTCCCGGGTTCGATACCCGAACTAGGCGGATTTTTTCAGTCGCGCACCAGTCACCTAGCTGTGTTTGGAGATTTGTGTTTGTCCTTTGTCCCTGTTGTTCCCCTTCTCCAGGATTTATTTTCGCCAATATAGTATGGTTTAATAAGTTTAGGTGTGCCTTCTTGTTCAATAATGTAAGCCTACAAAGAGTTACATCATTTGGATATTATTAACGTTAAAACCCCCGTTACCTCATCAGGGGCCAGTTGACATACCGTTGGTCATTGCGTTGGGTCATTGCATCAACTGGCCACTCGGTTTAGAGCTCGTGAGTTCGTGATTATGACTCGTACTCAAAAGGTGGAACAACAAGCTCACCTTAAAGACATAATCTGTGAAGTTCAAAGCCGTCCAGAATAGTAGGACGACGATGATAAAGGTGATCATTTTGACAGGAAGCTACCGTTTCTATCCCGCAAGTTGAATCGCACAACTCAAGGCGTCCGGCATTTCTTTCCGTAGTAACCCGTAGCAACGGACGCTTAGGAGAATCGCGGTGAATGACATCGGTTTGACAATATATTTTTAATTAATACAGCAAATATAATGAAAGGAATATATTTTTAATAATTAAAGAAAGTTTTACATTGTAGTACTTACTAAAACAAAAATAATTTGATATCATTGCATCATCTCTTGGATTTATGGGTTCAGAAAGGGCGATTGACAAATCTTGACATTCATTTTAAAAATAAAGTTAGAACGAACGGTTTTACCAGGGTTTATTATTGTAAAATAAATAATTACTCATACGTACTCGACATTGGTTACTACGGCTTCCTTCTGTGCATTAAAGCCGTTAACCTTCTCCTCCGCGTTTTTGAGTGCTCTTTTTCATCATGGCGGGGAGCGAGTGTGCCAGGATTCAGGGGCAACCCCATTTAATGAAACAAGACCTCGACAAACTAGTAAGTTACGACAGCACTCGCGCAACGATTCGTAAGATGAAAGTCCCGTGCACAGCTACGACGTACTTTTTCTCGGCATACACGGGAACCACACGCGCATACGGCGACTCCGTTTTGCCGGGTCACCCCAGGTGTCAGTTTTGGGGGCTCACGTTTTTTTCCCCATGAGCATATGCTTTGATTCTTCGGGAACGCAAAAATCGTAAGGTCTTACAGTTCCCAATTAGGTACATATGTTTTAAAAACGACATCGTAATTCGATTTTGATCGATTCATACGACGTTGTGAGCGTATGAATCTGGGAGCGTCTCCACTCGGCATTCCTTGAAAACCTCGACGTCGTCTGGGACTCGGCGGTCGTTTCCATGGGAGACGATCATCTGCGATTAACGAGTTTAATGATCAGCTAATGATGAATTGTTATCCTGTTCAGTTTCCTGTTCCGCCGTCTGCCGTTAGCAACATCTATGTGGCCTCGATACGCCGAGCTTGTTCGTCATTGCCTGTCGATTTCGTTTCCTCCCAGGACATAAACAAGTTAACTCCGTTCACGGCCGAGGTTATCAGCAGGCAAGCGACGATTAACATCGGTAAGTATCTTTAAGGCATTGGGAGATCGGCGTTTATTCGAGTTTCCAACGTTTCGTGCATGCAACGCGCGCGCTTGTTTTTTTGCCCCTCCCAGGAACAATAGGACATGTGGCGCACGGCAAGTCAACGGTCGTCAAAGCCATTTCTGGCGTCCAGGTGCGATTTCTTTTTGTACTATGTTTTGTTACTAAAACATTTTGCATTAATCTGATCCCGTTGTGTCGAATGCATTAATCAGTTCATACATATACACATATATGTAAAATTTTCTGCACTGCACGTAACCGTAAATAAAGATGACACCATTCATTGTATTACTGGCCTAATCTGGAAGTCTGTGTCTCTCGAGCGCTGCAGTACCTGACAGGCAAACATTCTGGGTTTTTTAAACTTCCGTGAATTTTGTTGCCTGATGATTGTCTTTTGCAACCTCGCTGCTCCAGCTCAACTTTTTCTGTATGGAGACGGTGTTGAGTTTGTCCTGTTCCCCAATGCTAAAATTAACAGCTTTAATTCGGGATGGAAAGACATTAAAGAGCTGGCTTTCTGTGTTGATTGCATGTGCTTGGTGTAGTGCTTTGCTACCATCTCTCGTCATTTGTCAAGCCATACTGGCTCAAAAGGTAGACATTTATAAGCAGGCTATGACTGCTTGCTGCCGGTAACCCTTTTGATGTGTGGGACCTAGCTAGACACAAATACATATATATATATATATGTGGCACATATTTTATGTAAACATGTGCAAACCAATGAAAAGTTTATAATTACGTGTTTTTCATTGTGTCTTGATCTGTTGCATTGTGTGAACTGTAGTTTGTGCTAATTAAAATTAGATCAACTTTTCTGTGATTTCTACCGTCGGGAGATAATCCTACCTTCTTGGGTGGGGATGATAATCCTTTGTTTATTGTTCTGTCAGTTGTTGGCACACTTCTTGGTTGCTCAGTGATATAGAGAGGCAACATGTAGATAGGAACATGTTCTGATGTTCTTAACCTGGAGCTCAAGGAATTTGACTCTAGGAGCTCAAAGAACTTAATTGGCATTTTTGAAGTTGGTTTGTGGTCCCAGAAACAAAATATGCCATGGTCTGCCACATCTTCATCTTGCTTCTGATCATGCGCTGATCGTATCGAGCTTCCTCCGCGTTTGTTTCACGTCTTCGCAGTAGCAGCTTTATGCTACGCATTGACATACCACACAGGTGTCGTATATGAAAGCTGTTTTGTAATTCCTTTCAGACTGTCAGGTTCAAGAACGAGCTTGAACGAAACATCACCATCAAGCTTGGATATGCCAATGCAAAGGTATGCTAGCTTTTCCTGCTTACTGGGGAAGATTTCAAGGCATGTGTAGAGGAGTTTCCTGCCTGATGAGTGTCAAATGTTCGCTGATCCTTGTAGTCTTTGATACCAGTCTATACAGTAATTTCCTGTATTTTGCTCTGGCGCTCAGTGCAGTCATGTGATTTCTATGCTGTTCGCACCAAACTGCTTACCCTGCCACATCCTGCTACATCTGACCAATATGAAATGAATTTTTGCCAACATTAATTTGTTGGTACAAATTGATGTACCAACTTGATTTCACTTTAATAACACTGAATGTATAATAGATCAGGCCTCACTACCCGGCCGGATTGTTACAATATGCTTGTGCGAGTTTTTAGAACTTTCGATTATCGCCTCGTACAATTCAATTTGAATTTGTATCAAACGTGACAGTATGCTGAAGTTTTGCAATGATTTTCATGTTTGTGGTTTGTTTTGGTGGGTTAGCTATCTTTGTTGAGTGCGCTTCTCACCGTCCGCTGGTGTACTGCAGTGAAGTAGAAACTACAGATTAAGGGGTGTCCAAACAGGACACTACAAAAGGCACGACTCCGACAAATCGTGAAAATGGAAGCAGACGCGCCCGCTTCGCGCCCGCTTCAATTTTCACGATTTGTCGGAATTGTGCGTTTTGTAGTGTCCTGTTTGGACACCCCTTGATTAGGCATCGCGATTTTGCGTGCCTCGCTTTGCTGCAGAGCACCCGCGTGCTAAGGGGAGAGCAGTCCTCCAGAGCAAGACGTGACGCAATTTCTGAATAAAACTTTGGCTTGTACATGATATAATAGACTGTGATATCCTTGCAGCACCTTTTCCCAATTTGAGATTTTGCAAGGATACTTGGGTATTGCAAGAAGATTTATATAGACTCTTTTGTAGGTTTTTTTTTTTGCCAACTCTCATTTAATTATCACTTTTATATAGGTGGGGCTAAATTATAACTAAATGATGAGAAGCAGTGAATGGAGGCTTGGGAGGAATGTTAACGAGTTCGGCGGTATTCTTTCTAAGACGTCATATTAATCATTCACATGCCAATTTTTGTTGTAAAGTTCTATATATAAAATGGAATTCACAATCAAAGGACAAAAGCTTTTTTTTTTATTATTTGGATGAAGAGTGGTTTTATGGCGACCTCTGAAACTTTAAAAAACATATAAATTCGGGTGCTCAAAATTTTTGTACCCTTACATTATTTCAGCAGAATTCTGTACCTAAAATAACTTTCACACCAGTTCGTGCTATCCTTAATAATTCCTCCTTTTGCTACCATGTCTGGCGCTTTACATGCAACTAAAGAGCTAGCTCTGTGTTAGAAGTTATCGCTTCTGCTGTGTAACTGATGCTAATGAAAGGTGGCACATAAATGAGAAGGCAAGGTAGGCATTGCCTTTTAGTTGGACAGGCCAACATATAAATTTTAACATAATCTTTGCAGTAGTACAAATGAAAATGAAATGTACACTAATGATCTAAAAGTTATTTGTTCTGCCCCAAATTGGACTTCTGGCTGCTCCAAGAGCTGCTCCAAAATGACTCAGACCAATCAGATCACGCTAGTGGTACTTCGTCCCATTTGGGGTCATTTTTCTTCTGGATTACGGAAGAAAACATGCCAGTGATTAGCGAGGGGAGTACAAGAGCACGAGCGAGTTGGTGTAGACTGTAGTTCTACAGTTTCTTGCCTTGCTTGCTTGCTTTCTTGAATTTGCAGTATTTTTTTCTCGTTAAACTGAATATCACGTTTGTCTTCCCCAAAGATGTAGCTAAATGCGAGAAAACACGAAAAACCTTTGACCAGTGGTTACGTCGTACAGGAATCTTTCGGCCGCCAAGCGCATGTCGCTCGTGTGGGCAGCGCGTGCAGTTCAAGCTCACCAGGTATACTCCCTCGCACTGACACCATTCACGTCTTTTTCTGACCTTTCTGAAAATAGCAAGAGTGCGCGAGCATAAGTTTGATAGGCACCGTAGATGCGCGAGAGCGGAGGTTCCAAAAACTTTTATGACGTCACGCTCGGGGAAAGAGGGGCTTTAGCGGTACTTCGAAAATAATGATCTGCAGTCTCCGTGCACCATATTGAAACAATGATCTAGATATTCATGATTCTGGTGGCGAAATGAAGACAATTTAAGTGTTTTTTTCCAAATATAAAACCACTTCAGTTTCCCTTTAAAAGGACACTGACCCCCCCCCCCCCCCCCCAACCTTTTTTTTTAATTTTTTGCCAGGCAATCTATTATGGTGTCAGAAGACTACACAATCAATATTTTGCTGCAGCATCACATATATATCTTTAATGAAGTCAAAATATGCAACTGCTCGAAACCGAAACTGGACTGGGGAGTAACAAGAAATATAGAGGAGGAGGAAGTTGCCAAAAGTCACGTGGCTGTGCAAGATTCTTTTTTTTTTTTTCAATCAACGTATTTGCAGTTTTTTTAGTAGCCACAAAAAGATGGATATCATATTTTTTGTCTACTTTTGGTATTGAGTGTGTGCCTTTGATGATCCAGGACTTTGATTATCTTTGGTGGTTGTGTCTAAACAATGAAAATGGCACGTGACCATGGAGAATTGAGTGAGCGCGACTCAAACCGGCCAGTTCTCAATTGGCAGTTTTCAAGCGGAAAGAAAACGAATTTCGAGCCGCAAATTGTGTTCTGAGTAGTTGGGCTCTCATATGTCATGTATAAATAAATACCTTCACGAGCATAGATGTCAGTGTCCCTTTAAAGCCATGATGTGACGTCATTTCACGTGACACCACGACTTGACACTTTGACGTCACGCTGCCGTTTGGGCTGTAGCAGAAAAAAGCGCATTGATCTTTTTTATTGCTTCGGGAAATTCTCACTGAGGTTTTTGCGGCATTTGTCCCGCAGATCTACAAGTGCGACGACGAGAAGTGCACCCGGCCCGCCTGCTACCGGTCTGCGGGGAGTAGCAAGGAGGACGACTTCCCTTGCGACCGCCTGGGCTGCAATGGCAGGTTCAGGCTACTCAGGTGGGCTCGCGCTGCACCGAGGTTGCCGGTGGCGGCCTGCCGTGCTCCTTCTCGGAGGGTTTTTAACCCGGGGTTGCAGCAACCTCGAAACAATTCTCTTCTGCCTGCACTAAGTGGGCTCTTCACATTTGCAGCGTGCGTAAGGCGTCTCGAAGCCACGACTTACGTGTGGCACGATGCTCGGGTAGTGTTTGTTTCAGTTGGTAAAGGGATTGAATGGTGGAAACAAACGAGTTTATATAGTGCAATGCCGTTGGCGTGAACGATACGTCGGGGCCTTTTCATGTTTTTACTTCAAAGGGGTATTGGGGGTGTAAAATTTTACGGTTAGTGCTCTAAATGAGAACTTTCGACCATGTTAGCAATTCTTGCGACAGCCCGTCATTTCCAGAAGACAAAAGGCAAAAACTGGCGATTGCTTGTTTGCATTTGCTGGATGTTGCTTCTTTAGGGTTTAACGGAAGTGGTAAAGCTAGGCTCCCACTGATGCGCTTTTAAAGTAGCATCCGGAGAGGCGCCGATTTTAAGCTAACGCTAACAGTGTTGCATGGTGGAAGTCACTGACCGTTTCGGACTCGGAGGGGACCCTAGAATGGTCCGAATAATCAAGCGGTCTGAAAAATCGATTTCAACCAAAATATCAAATTTCTGCGTATTATCCGCAGTGTATTGGCCACTTTCTGTTCTCCTGCAACTTCCGCTTTATATTGTTCACTCTTCACTTGTTGATCTGTTTGATCATGGTGCTGCGCTTTGTCGGCGCCTTCGTTGGCACAAACAGCGAAGTTGAAGCTGGCGCCATTTGACACTATTTGGAGACAACGTTTAGTCCACCAAGCTCACTTAAATACTAAGCTTATCGGCGAAAAACCTTTGTGCTCAAAGACCACAAAAAACGGCAGACTGCTGCTCTTCTTCCGGTCGCACTCGAAAAATATGGGCCACGAGAAGAACTGGAAGAACCATAACAGTGGACACACGGCAGCCATGTTGACTGTAGTGGAACCGGAAAACTCGACTATAGCCTCAACCCAGCTTGTTTATTGCGTAGGACGTGGTATCGAGGCTACAGGGCAAAATCAAAACAACCAGAATGGCGGTCACTAAGCTCGTGGCGCTATCTCTTAAACGTTAACTCTAAGGGGTGAGTGACGGTTTGGCGAAAACGTCCGAAGGATTGGACATGTCTTAAAAGTCGGCGTCTAAAAAATCGGTCGGCGACTGGACATGTAAAATGAATTGAGGCAAACTCTATGAGGGCAGAAAACTGCGTTATTTGGCCAGTGATCTTAAATTTGTTTATTTTAAAGGGAAGCAATAATTAGAACCAAGCATAGATTGTGATTTTGGTATCCATATTCGACCCACAGATTTTGTAACCATATACAAATTACACCGCTTAACTTTATTCATAGTTGTGTCGGTGTGTGACGTGCAGCCTGCAGTTATTCTTTTTATGTTTTAGGCTTGAACAATGGTTTTGACACACATGTGCTTGTGTAAGTTAAACCATCCTAAAATTGCATTCACACTGGCATTCGAATCGCAGGCTCAAAGGCAAGGCCTTCTTTTGTCATCAAATGTCTATGAAATTGAACTGGATGTTTCAGTAACTGCATTAGCACCCACTTTGCAAATGCAGTCTTTTGCAGTCGTCTTTCACGCCAGTGTACAAAGACATTGATGCTGAGCTTATGTTCAGTATGTGCAGCCAGAAGCTGTACAAGTTGTACAAATACCCAGTGTTTGTCATCCAATGGAAGAACCAGACTCCCACAGTCTGTGACTGGGACACTCTCATTGGAGGGTTGTAACCACACACCTTTGTGGACTCGCATCTATGCAGTGGAGCAAGCCCAAACTTATACATAGCTTGCATTGTTGTCACTTGGTCAGACATGATAGGATAAAAGGCGCATTAACTACTGCATTAATGCAACGCTTTTGGTCACCAGAAAGAAGGGCTGACTGACATCACGTGCAGGCTATGTATTCAAGAGTCACTGACGGGCAGATATTGCCTTCTTTGTTGGCTATAATAAATCCCAATAAAAGTATTGTGACACAAAACATTTAATAGAGAACCAAATATTTATGCTGTGAGAGTCACTTTAAGCTTGCCCCTGTGTCTGCAGAGAATGACAATTTCTAAGGATGATAATTCTAGAGAATAACGATTTGCAACTAATTTAGCCAATGAAGTGCCGTAAAATACCAAGCATCCGCCCATTCTACAATAGGCCTACCCTTTAATTTTGTAACATTTGGAAAATACACAAAGGACATATCTTTACATATTGTTGACCTAAGAAGTGCCCATGAATATAAGCAAATGATTATCACCAAATTTTGAGTGAACGCTTGCTCGGGATTATACGGCAAGATCGAAAGGGCTGGTACAATGACAACGTTTCTGGAGTATTAACCCTTTGATGGTCGAGCTTTTTTCCCAAAAGATAATTCTTTCCAAAGGAATAGTTTTCTTTCCAAAGGAATAATAAAAAGAAAGGGACAATGCACAGTTTTTTTTTCTTAATTGCAGTGTCTAGCGGGAGCACATACGGTGCTTGCAAGCTCTTCAGGTTTAGAAGCATCAAACGGATATATTGAAGGTGAAAAGTTGTCGCCTCCCTTCCATTTGGTTTCATTGTGGTGCGTCTGTTTCCGCGACATTTCAGTGGTTTCATATTTTAAACTGGAGGTACTTTACGGAGCTTCTTCATCAGATGGTAACCTTTCATCCTCTAAATTGAATTCCGAGATGCGTCTAAAGTCTAAATAAAGAGCCAGCACTCAAATTGCCACTACTGCCAGGGCAGCCGACGTGTGAAGCGACCATCTGGCACTTTTGCGGACCGTCTAATTTAAAAACTATAAATAGCCCCAGCAAAGCGAAACAGCGTGCGAATGTAACGTTTATAGTTTGCCAAAGACATAACCAAAACCAAGACGTTGCATGTCTTTTGCATGTGCGCGAGTTTCGCATTTAGGTGGGCACTTCCAAATGTCTAATCACAGCTGTACGTGTACAGCATGGGTTGTCAAGCAGTTAAATGTCTATAGTCTCATGGCATACTATGATTTGTCATTGAGACCCCTCATCATTTTCTAAATCCTTTTGGTCCAGATCACTGGCTGGTGCTTTCTCAAATATGTTTAGTCTTCAAAGCTAAAAACAAACAAAAAAATGTGGGCTATCGCAGTATAATTTAGAGCTAAGTTTTAAGTTGCTTTATACATTGGTGCTAATTATTATTTTTTTTTTTCTGTTTCAGACATGTCTCCTTCGTAGACTGTCCTGGCCACGACATTTTGATGGCTACCATGTTGAACGGTGCAGCAGTCATGGATGCTGCTTTGCTTCTCATTGGTGAGTTTTTTTTTTTCCTTGCTTTCTTTTCTGGTTTTTATAAAAGGAAACATCTGTTGATATCTTTCCTGTCCTACTCCTGCGAAGATTTTTTAATTTCTCTGAGTTGTCTTGCAAGGGGGCCATGACTGGGCACCTTTGGCCGGGCATATTTTTTATGCAAGCTACAAGTAGAATCATGCAAAGGAAGCTTACGCTCTCTAAAAAGTCCACTACTTGCGAACTCCTGTGTACTAGAAATTTTATATTTGTGTTGTCTACAGATTATTTTCTAGGCACGAGATACTCGAGAAATTGACAATTTTACATCCGATAAGCCATCCAGCGCAACACCTCAAAGTTTGTCTGACATCTCAATCAGTATTAACCCTTTCCGTACCGCGCCCATCAAAATCAATCAACCGTGGTCAACAATTTGCAAGCCCCGTTGCAAAGCTTCTGCTGCGTTTCTGGACAAGTTACGGCATCTGGTGGTTATAATAGACACTCAAGTTTCAGTTTTCATATAGTCCTTTATTTTCCATGGGATGGCGATTTATCATGACCAGACATGCAGCCGAAAACGAGCGCTTCGTGCTGCAAACGGGGTGTCCTCGAGGCGCGCCTTCTCGGAAGCATTTGAAGTCTCGCGATTCGAGAGTGTCTCGGTTGATTTTGTTGCTGATGCTAGCACGAGTGAGTCGGAGATGATGTCGGATCATCAGATTTCAGTTCCAACATCGATGATTTGTCAGACAAGCCCTGAACATTCACAACTTCACGTCGGTAAGGCTTATTAAGGTGAAAGCCTGTCGGCGGTGCGTTCGAAAGCGCCGGAGAAGAAAAGGGACGTCCGGCGCAGAGCTTAGACAAAAGGCATATATTCTCTTATAGACCGACACGCGAAGCGGCTCTGTTTACCAACACGGCCGGAAGGCCGCGCATGCGCGGCAGCTATGTGGGCAAAAGCATCCCGGCTCTCCGTGTTTTCGCCATTGCGCTCTATGGCGTGCGCTCGTTGTTGACGTTGTTGGGACGCTTGTATCTTTATTTGTGCGTCGTATTTCCTCATAACGTATGTCGTATGCTATGCCCGACTATTTGAACTCGTTGCCCGAGCCTGAACGGTATGGTATCGAAACAAACTGTGCGTGGACGGCGTTGCCTACGAGGATCCGTACGCCGTAAACAAGGCCTATAGGTGCTGGACTTCCGGCGTAAAGTTGCTGCCACGGAAGTCGACGGCTCAGGTCGTCGTTTATTTAGTTTTCGCCGAGTCAATTCACGGCCGACACGGTGCAGGCCTACAAGTCTCTCGAGGCCTACGATTACATCGAGTCGGTTTCCGCACTGCCGGCGGGATCAGCAGACTGTGGGTCTGCGGAAGTGTGTGTATTCAATAATTGATTAAATACACAGAGCGTCTTCAAGTCAAGGTATGATATTTTTCATACCCTCGTGACCACAAGGCATTACAACCAGTAAAGGTTTGTCCGTTCTGCAGTCTTGGCGGTAACAGGTTACAAGTAACGGCGTTACCAGGAACGCGTTACTTTTTTCAGTAACGTAGTGACCTACTCGTTACGTTTTTGACACAGTAGCGGGTAACGTACTTATCCTACTATTTCAAGTAACGTAGTTACGTTAGTCGTTACTACTTCCCAGGTCTTAAAGAAATTACATTTCAATTGTTTCCGTGTTTTAGGCGTCAAGCCATGTTTTCTTTGCGTTTTTTCTCGTAAGTATTTAGGTGAAACCGTAAAAGAGATAAAGTATTTATGTTCAGCTTCTGCTTGATATATGACCTGTATCGTCAAAACCGTAAAATGTGTTAAATCATAATTTAAAAAAAGTAACGCAGAAGTATCGTGCCTTACTTTTTATCGGTAGCGGTAACGCGTTCCTTTTATTTTTAGATGACGTAGCTCAGTAACGCGTACCTTTTATTTGCAAGTAACGAGTGACGTATTTCGTTACTTTTTTTCGGTAACGCCTACAACTCTGCCGTTCTGTCGCCGATCCACTTCTGCTCGGTAGCACGTGCGTAGCGAGCCTCCGACGAGCGCTTGGCCGGTGCGTTGTGCGCAAACACCGTGGGAACAAAATCCGGGTGGTCTTGATCAGACGACGGTTTCTCTGCACATAAGCAAGCCTCGCGACGGAGATTGAAATGGAAGCCGCACTTGCCTCCAAGAAAGTGTTTGCCGCACAAACGGTCGTTCGCGCGAGGCGACCATTCTTTTCGATCCAGGGATATTATCCACCTTCTATGCCTTTCAGAGTCTGCCGGGAACTTGTGGAAACTCACTCCGCTGCTTCTCTTGTACATTTCGGTGCAATTAACGGCAAAACAGCTTCGCGACATGCTGAAATGCTATGACGCCCATGCGAAACGTGCGCGCTTTTGCCCACACCCCCCGGCTCCGGCGCGATAGCAGCGCCGCCGCAGCTCCGTGACGTCAAGCCCGCGTGTCGGTGTATATTGCGCGGCTCCCGAGGCCACGCGGTAGCGTGAGCTGGCGCGCTCACCGGCGGAACAACATTCACTTTGGTGTTTTCTACAACCCGTGTGGTTGTGGCACCTGTCGGCTCTGCTACAGAATCCCCCCCCCCTAATGTCGTGGAGCAACCCGTGTGGTTGTGGCCCACGTCACGGTCCTTTGGGGAGTCGGTGATTTGACGGAGGGTTTTGCTTGAGTAGGTGTAACGGCTGATAGATGGTGCAGGAGCACAGGGTCCGTCAGAGAAGAGTCCAAGTGAGCGGGTTTCACTCGATCGAGTGTCACAACGTCATGACGACCATTGATGTTGACCGTACAAGGTTTGTCAGTGCGTGAAATGACTTTGAATAATCCGTCGTACGGGGGAATGAGAGGTGGCGCATACTGTAATCCCGTCTCACGAATACGTGAGTGCCCGTATCCAGATCTTCACTTATAAAAATCTGTCTTTGTGTTTGTTGTCTTGGTGAGACTGGCCGTAGAGAAGTGAAGAATTGTCTCATCTCTTCAAGGTATGAAGGCATGTCAGGCTGTGCGGATGGTGTGCACGTAAAGAAATCTCCTGGTAACCGAAGTGTAGTGCTGTAAACCAGATCGGCTGAGGTGCATGTTAAATCCGTCTTGAAGGTGCCGCAAATTCCAAGGAGAACAAGAGGAAGATGGTTGACCCAATGGTTTCGATGTTCTCTAGTCATGAGTGCCGTCTTCAGTTGGCGATGTAGGCGCTCAACCATGCCATTTGCGGCAGGATGGTACGATGTCGTGTGTATGTAGCGCGCGCCCAAGATGTTGGTGAGGGCCTTGAAAAACGCGCATTCAAATTGTCGGCCACGGTCGGCTCTGCTACAAGCCTTATATGTCTCATTGTTCAGTCCTTGAGTGAAAACACGTCGGCAACACGAAAGGTACCGAAACCCACGGTTCACCCCTGGACCACGAGATGGCGATACTTGTGCCAGAATTGGCAAAGGCGCGCATGCGGCGCAAACCCAGCGGGAGAGGAGGACACTCTCGTTCGGGCAGCGATGAAAAGTGGGCGTGTAGCATGCCGTGAGATTAATGGCGCCAAAAGTGTGTCGTCAGAGAGCGCGCTGTCTTCGGAGGTTCGCTATCACCGGGATTGGCCTTTAAGTTGTCTTAGGGATAACATAAGAGACCCTGTGAATTTTTTTGGTTTTGTTTTCATGTTCTTTGCTGGTTTTGTGTGAAAGCCCAGGCTGTTTGTGCTCGTTGTCAATACATCTGGTGGTTAGGTTAGATAGGTTTGTTTCTGTATTGTTTGTTTTTCCTACGAGATGGCGATTAATTATGAAAAAACACGCAGCCGAGGAGATGGTGCTCCACATTGGGAACATGGCGTCTACGCGAAAAGATTGTCGGTTCTCTCGTCTGAGTTCGAGGATTTCAGATGGGAGAAGGCAACAAGAGCTGATGTCCGACGGCGACGGAATAAAAATGTACAGTCGCCGACCGTTTTTTTCGGACTCCGATAATTCGGACTTGTTTGATATTTCGGACCTAAAGGAGGAACCGTGACTTATGCCATAAAAATAGCGCATATTCACGGCCAATGTTTCGGATAGCTTGAAGTCCGAAAGTTTGATTCTTCGGACTAAGTCGTCGCGACCAATCAGCGGGAAGCACCACCGAGAAGCGCCCATTTTGAATTCTATGTTGGCTGCAAATGGATTGGCTTGGTTTGGCAGTGCTACTTGAGTACTTTAAGTCTTGTCGCTAGGTGACGCTATGTTAGCCCCTTTTTTTCATTTAGCTGCACGCCATCATCATCATCATTATTACCATTTTGCTTTGTTTCCTTCCATCCCTTCGCGCCTCCGCCCCACTTTCGCGTCGCCAGTCGCAGTTTTCCGCTCGTGGAATTGCGCCTCTCATCTGGTTCGGACAGCGCTGGCTTGGACGTCATGGCCCCATCTGTCCTTCTGCCGCTGCGATATGTAGTTAAGAAGAGCAGAAAGTACTCGACGATAATGCTATAAAAGAAGGCAGTGATTCTCAGGCTAACAGAAAGTTGCCGAACGCAAACGGAGGCGTAACTTGAAGCAAGGCACTATTTACGGCTTTTTTAAGCCCCCTTGAAAGTAATAAAGGCAAGTTTTTCAATCTGCTGATTTTTCGGACTGCTCTATTATTCGGACGTTTTTTCGGTCCCTGCGAAGTCCGAATAATCGGTCGGCGACTGTACTATATCTTCAGTGGAAAGACCGGCGTGTCGTACGCTTGATGAGCGCTGCATACTGCCGACAAGCACATGCTTACAAGATGGAGGGAAAAAAAATTACAGGAGGACACTCAAGACTCCTTACCTGTAGGAAGGCGAAAGCACTATAGTTGTGCGGGTGAAATACTTTCAAGCAACGTTTCTACAAGTTCTAAAGTTTAGGACGACGTCCTAGAGATCGACTCCAAGTACGGTGTCTAGGACGACGCCGAGGATGACCTCTCGGACGACCTCAAGGACGGCGTCTTGGTCGACGTCGAGTACGACACCTAGAGGATGAC